TTGACCCTGATCGATAGAGCCTAGGCCATTGACCAGGCAGTTAGCGACGGTACTTCCTCGCGTCACCGACCTTTGTACACTCGCCATTGGCCGAATTAATAAATAATAATTAGTAAAATTATTTATCTTTAAGATGTGTGGTCATAAGACCTGAAGGAATAACCAGTGGCGGTGGCGGACAAGCCGGACAAATTTCGGACCAAACTAATGAACGAACCACAGATGGGAGAAATGTTGAAGGACGCTGAGGGGGCCCAACTGGCTAACCATTCGTTTACGTGGTCATTATATCTAAAATAAAATATGTTTGTTAATGAATAATTGCATTCTCTTATTCGACTTCGGACTTGGTCCTAAAGGGAGGCGGCGATTCCAATAAAGACCATATTTTTTTTTTTGGCTTTAATCATCGAGGGCATGATCGCCTTGTTGGCTGTAGACACCACATTGACCACAGACAAGGCTCGAGTGTTTCATCAGTTGTTGTGTGTTGCCTAAAGATGGATGACCGACGATAGCCAAAAGCTATCGTATATTTCGATTTCGTGTTATCGCAAAAATACCAGAGACGCGACCAAGACTTTTTTTGCACATCTTAAGTCCGATTCATCATTTTTGGTTTTGATAGGTAATAGCCTCTGCACACGGCCGATTCTTGTTCACATAGAGAATCGCTGAAGCGAACAGGTGATTTTGCAAAATGTGTTCCAACGTCCAAAATTGGGATTGTTTTTGTAAAATGTAAAAATTCCAATTGGATAAATTTTTATTTATGAAATGAGTTACAAAATCTTTGATTTCTAGTGTGCTCTGAACAGCAATAAGTCAATAAAAATGAAGTTTAACTAAAATCGAAAAACACAAAACTAAAATGAAAACCATAAGCCCCTTGATAGTTTTATTTATATTATGATCCATTGTATAAAAATAAGATACTCAATGATTTCATTTCAGTTATAAGATCTTGGTTTAGGGTGAATAATATTTGGGGTCAATGTTCCAAAGTTTCAATGTTCCAAAAATGATCAAAGTACCTTGCATAGTTCAGGAGTTATTAATTTATGTCAAACAAACAGGACAATCGCTTTGCTCCTGCCGGACGTCTCCTAGCAAAAAAAGTATGTTCTGGCCAACAGAATTTGGTTTGTACTAATACAATTTTTTTTAGCTACTTGGCTAGTTTTATGGAATAGGCAAGACCTGGCAAGATTCATTATTTATTCAAAGAACCCATTTAAAGGCGCTTCCATATTCCAAAATTGGAAACAATTTTTTTTTTCCGGAGTACTAGTAAATATTTGTATAACTTCTAGAAAAAAACTGCTTTTAATGTAGTAATTATTTGTTTATATTTTTTGTCAATTCTAATAATTTAAGTTTGTTGCGTGTAGTAAATTCTTAATTAATTATAAATTGTATGATTCGCCAACGCACTCCTAGAAGCATTTGGAGCTGTCCTGAGCAGTTGCACACTTGGCCCCACAGGATTTGTAATGTTCAAATTGGCATTGATTACTAAAGAGGAAATCAAACAAATCCTAGCCCTTCCAAAACCAGAAAAGCGTTACTAACAAACGATTATTAATTACATTTTTTTCCAGATACTTTTATTATATTAATAAAAAACTGCAAAAAATCTTGGTTCGTACCGATTCGTATGCTCCACGCTGCCAGGCTATTGAGTCACTTCAACGGGACCTGATATTCTTGACCCAAGTAGATATTTTTGGCCTCGTGGCATTGATGGCCGACATCCAGAGCCTTTTTTGCTCATAGGCGAAGGCCAGACTCAACCAGATATCGATCCATATCCTGGCAAAGGTAGCTGGTTTTTAGGTAGTAAATCCCGGAGACATCGAATTCTCTAGCTGCGTGGAGACTCCTGGTTATCTTTTTGCAATTATAACAAACTCGAGGCTGTTAATTTGCTGATTGCTTATTTCATTTAAGAGCCACGGCAAATCTAACATTTTAGTTTCATCAGTAAGCATGACCTACTTTAAAATCAATAAAAATAAGTGTAATTTTGGTCCTTGTTATCTAATTAATATTTTAAGGCCTACACTTATAACGAAAAATAATGTAATAAATATATAAAGTATTAGAATTTTTTTTAAGAAATCTTGAAAACTGGTCACATTTGTTTGAAAATTCAACGCTAAGAATTTTGGGTTGTTCCCCCAATTGCTCAAATTTGAACTACCCTCTGAACAAAGCTACTTATTTTTTTTCAAAGCGGATTTTGTTTTTTTAAATTAAAATGGGTTACAGCGCAAAACAATTTCATCGCTAGCATGTAAAATGTTTTGCTTGGCTAAAAATTTCTTTATTGATATTAGCTTATGTGTCAAGAATAAGAGTTCTATAAAGTGAAAATATAATAGAAACTATTGTGGGCCAACAGTGACACCATAAGAATTCAGTCTGAATAGATTATTAGGTGTTTTTATACCCGTTACTCGTAGAGCAAAAGGGTATACTAGATTCGTCGGAAAGTATGTAACAGGCAGAAGGATCCGTTTCCGACCCCATAAAGTATATCTGTTCTTGATCAGGAGCACTAGCCGAGTCGGTCTAGCCATGTCCGTCTGTCCGTCCGGATGAACGCTGAGATCTCGGAAACTATAAAAGCTAGAGATTTGGCGTGCACATTCCTGAGCTTCTTACGCAGCGCAAGTTTGTTTCAGCAGAGTGCCACCGCCACTCTTACGCCCACAAACCGCCCAAAACTGTGGCTCCTACAGTTTTGATGCTAGAACAAAAATTATAACTGAAATGTATTGTTCTCATCAATACCCATCGATTGATCTAAAAATTTGCCACGCCCACTTTAACGCCCATAGCGCTTAAATCTGTCTACCGCCGGTAGGTGGCGCATTTTGATCTCTCTTTGCTGCTTGCATATCTCCATTTCTCTTTGGACCCTTTAGCTGAGTCTGATAGTCGAGGTACTCGACTATAGCGTTCTTCCTTGTTTAACATGAAAACGTTCCCAAAATTCCACAAAAATACTTTTTGTCCATACTAAAAAATGTTGTGCCTCAGATTTAATTTTAAATTAACTGTCCAATCATTCGCATGACTGGAAAATATACTTTTCATCTAGTTAACAGGGTTACAATTTTTTATTTATTATCAAGCATCGACTGATTTTTCATGATTATCAACAACGGCTATTAAGGGAATGTTTTACAATTTGACGTGCGATCAATAACTAATTTCCTATCTGCTAATCACATAATTTCGAGTTCAATAAACTAGTGTTCAAAATACATTTAAAAGGTATGAAGCACATGAAGGCGATATTCGAGTCTTAAGACGGTGAACACGTGGCCCGGAAGTACTCCAATTGAATCATACTGCCTAAGGGTGCGATAGTCACTTTAAGCCCGAGTGCCTTACGGGCTCTAGCCTTAGGAAAACCAGTATACCATACATACATATACTGAAGAACTAGGGTATGAGCCCGTTGATCGACTCCCCGATTTCTTTTGGCTATCAAAGCCCATTCTGTGTTCCATACAGAAAAAAAGCGGCTAAAACACTAATTATAGCTGATAGATGATGATGATGAGAGTGATGCTGAAATGCATTTTGTGGAAATTTGTCAAAATGTAGTAAATCCCAGTAAGCAAAATAAAGAAAATGAAGTTGTTGAAATAATGCAACGCCTTCATGTGCAAATGCCTAAGACAGAAAGCGTTGATTGCATCGCTTATGAAGCAAAATGTCAAGTAAAATGTTGGAAAGAGCCGCTCTTTAAATAAAATTACTCCTTAAAAAAGACTATAAAAGATTGGTCTCCACAAAATATTTCCCCTGAAATGGGGAAAAATTAAATGAACATAGTATTGGCAAAATATAAGTTCATGAAAAACAAATTGGATGGCGAAATAGCCATCCTAGAGTACAGAGCTACAATGGGTGAATTCCTATTTTATTGATATAAAAGATTTGATAATTGCCATAAAATAATTGAAAAATGCCTTGGGGAATCAAATCTTATGCCTACTGGTTTGGTAAACTGGAGCCGTGGGAATTCACACAGGAAAGCCATTCTTAGGTATTTTATCAAAGTTACGATCTTCTGCACCGTCATTCTAAATACAAAATTCCAGAAATAGACAACGAGCTTGACCCTGATCGATAGAGCCTAGGCCATTGACCAGGCAGTTAGCGACGGTACTTCCTCGCGTCACCGACCTTTGTACACTCGCCATTGGCCGAATTAATAAATAATAATTAGTAAAATTATTTATCTTTAAGATGTGTGGTCATAAGACCTGAAGGAATAACCAGTGGCGGTGGCGGACAAGCCGGACAAATTTCGGACCAAACTAATGAACGAACCACAGATGGGAGAAATGTTGAAGGACGCTGAGGGGGCCCAACTGGCTAACCATTCGTTTACGTGGTCATTATATCTAAAATAAAATATGTTTGTTAATGAATAATTGCATTCTCTTATTCGACTTCGGACTTGGTCCTAAAGGGAGGCGGCGATTCCAATAAAGACCATATTTTTTTTTTTGGCTTTAATCATCGAGGGCATGATCGCCTTGTTGGCTGTAGACACCACATTGACCACAGACAAGGCTCGAGTGTTTCATCAGTTGTTGTGTGTTGCCTAAAGATGGATGACCGACGATAGCCAAAAGCTATCGTATATTTCGATTTCGTGTTATCGCAAAAATACCAGAGACGCGACCAAGACTTTTTTTGCACATCTTAAGTCCGATTCATCATTTTTGGTTTTGATAGGTAATAGCCTCTGCACACGGCCGATTCTTGTTCACATAGAGAATCGCTGAAGCGAACAGGTGATTTTGCAAAATGTGTTCCAACGTCCAAAATTGGGATTGTTTTTGTAAAATGTAAAAATTCCAATTGGATAAATTTTTATTTATGAAATGAGTTACAAAATCTTTGATTTCTAGTGTGCTCTGAACAGCAATAAGTCAATAAAAATGAAGTTTAACTAAAATCGAAAAACACAAAACTAAAATGAAAACCATAAGCCCCTTGATAGTTTTATTTATATTATGATCCATTGTATAAAAATAAGATACTCAATGATTTCATTTCAGTTATAAGATCTTGGTTTAGGGTGAATAATATTTGGGGTCAATGTTCCAAAGTTTCAATGTTCCAAAAATGATCAAAGTACCTTGCATAGTTCAGGAGTTATTAATTTATGTCAAACAAACAGGACAATCGCTTTGCTCCTGCCGGACGTCTCCTAGCAAAAAAAGTATGTTCTGGCCAACAGAATTTGGTTTGTACTAATACAATTTTGTTTAGCTACTTGGCTAGTTTTATGGAATAGGCAAGACCTGGCAAGATTCATTATTTATTCAAAGAACCCATTTAAAGGCGCTTCCATATTCCAAAATTGGAAACAATTTTTTTTTTCCGGAGTACTAGTAAATATTTGTATAACTTCTAGAAAAAAACAGCTTTTAATGTAGTAATTATTTGTTTATATTTTTTGTCAATTCTAATAATTTAAGTTTGTTGCGTGTAGTAAATTCTTAATTAATTATAAATTGTATGATTCGCCAACGCACTCCTAGAAGCATTTGGAGCTGTCCTGAGCAGTTGCACACTTGGCCCCACAGGATTTGTAATGTTCAAATTGGCATTGATTACTAAAGAGGAAATCAAACAAATCCTAGCCCTTCCAAAACCAGAAAAGCGTTACTAACAAACGATTATTAATTACATTTTTTTCCAGATACTTTTATTATATTAATAAAAAACTGCAAAAAATCTTGGTTCGTACCGATTCGTATGCTCCACGCTGCCAGGCTATTGAGTCACTTCAACGGGACCTGATATTCTTGACCCAAGTAGATATTTTTGGCCTCGTGGCATTGATGGCCGACATCCAGAGCCTTTTTTGCTCATAGGCGAAGGCCAGACTCAACCAGATATCGATCCATATCCTGGCAAAGGTAGCTGGTTTTTAGGTAGTAAATCCCGGAGACATCGAATTCTCTAGCTGCGTGGAGACTCCTGGTTATCTTTTTGCAATTATAACAAACTCGAGGCTGTTAATTTGCTGATTGCTTATTTCATTTAAGAGCCACGGCAAATCTAACATTTTAGTTTCATCAGTAAGCATGACCTACTTTAAAATCAATAAAAATAAGTGTAATTTTGGTCCTTGTTATCTAATTAATATTTTAAGGCCTACACTTATAACGAAAAATAATGTAATAAATATATAAAGTATTAGAATTTTTTTTAAGAAATCTTGAAAACTGGTCACATTTGTTTGAAAATTCAACGCTAAGAATTTTGGGTTGTTCCCCCAATTGCTCAAATTTGAACTACCCTCTGAACAAAGCTACTTATTTTTTTTCAAAGCGGATTTTGTTTTTTTAAATTAAAATGGGTTACAGCGCAAAACAATTTCATCGCTAGCATGTAAAATGTTTTGCTTGGCTAAAAATTTCTTTATTGATATTAGCTTATGTGTCAAGAATAAGAGTTCTATAAAGTGAAAATATAATAGAAACTATTGTGGGCCAACAGTGACACCATAAGAATTCAGTCTGAATAGATTATTAGGTGTTTTTATACCCGTTACTCGTAGAGCAAAAGGGTATACTAGATTCGTCGGAAAGTATGTAACAGGCAGAAGGATCCGTTTCCGACCCCATAAAGTATATCTGTTCTTGATCAGGAGCACTAGCCGAGTCGGTCTAGCCATGTCCGTCTGTCCGTCCGGATGAACGCTGAGATCTCGGAAACTATAAAAGCTAGAGATTTGGCGTGCACATTCCTGAGCTTCTTACGCAGCGCAAGTTTGTTTCAGCAGAGTGCCACCGCCACTCTTACGCCCACAAACCGCCCAAAACTGTGGCTCCTACAGTTTTGATGCTAGAACAAAAATTATAACTGAAATGTATTGTTCTCATCAATACCCATCGATTGATCTAAAAATTTGCCACGCCCACTTTAACGCCCATAGCGCTTAAATCTGTCTACCGCCGGTAGGTGGCGCATTTTGATCTCTCTTTGCTGCTTGCATATCTCCATTTCTCTTTGGACCCTTTAGCTGAGTCTGATAGTCGAGGTACTCGACTATAGCGTTCTTCCTTGTTTAACATGAAAACGTTCCCAAAATTCCACAAAAATACTTTTTGTCCATACTAAAAAATGTTGTGCCTCAGATTTAATTTTAAATTAACTGTCCAATCATTCGCATGACTGGAAAATATACTTTTCATCTAGTTAACAGGGTTACAATTTTTTATTTATTATCAAGCATCGACTGATTTTTCATGATTATCAACAACGGCTATTAAGGGAATGTTTTACAATTTGACGTGCGATCAATAACTAATTTCCTATCTGCTAATCACATAATTTCGAGTTCAATAAACTAGTGTTCAAAATACATTTAAAAGGTATGAAGCACATGAAGGCGATATTCGAGTCTTAAGACGGTGAACACGTGGCCCGGAAGTACTCCAATTGAATCATACTGCCTAAGGGTGCGATAGTCACTTTAAGCCCGAGTGCCTTACGGGCTCTAGCCTTAGGAAAACCAGTATACCATACATACATATACTGAAGAACTAGGATATGAGCCCGTTGATCGACTCCCCGATTTCTTTTGGCTATCAAAGCCCATTCTGTGTTCCATACAGAAAAAAAGCGGCTAAAACACTAATTATAGCTGATAGATGATGATGATGAGAGTGATGCTGAAATGCATTTTGTGGAAATTTGTCAAAATGTAGTAAATCCCAGTAAGCAAAATAAAGAAAATGAAGTTGTTGAAATAATGCAACGCCTTCATGTGCAAATGCCTAAGACAGAAAGCGTTGATTGCATCGCTTATGAAGCAAAATGTCAAGTAAAATGTTGGAAAGAGCCGCTCTTTAAATAAAATTACTCCTTAAAAAAGACTATAAAAGATTGGTCTCCACAAAATATTTCCCCTGAAATGGGGAAAAATTAAATGAACATAGTATTGGCAAAATATAAGTTCATGAAAAACAAATTGGATGGCGAAATAGCCATCCTAGAGTACAGAGCTACAATGGGTGAATTCCTATTTTATTGATATAAAAGATTTGATAATTGCCATAAAATAATTGAAAAATGCCTTGGGGAATCAAATCTTATGCCTACTGGTTTGGTAAACTGGAGCCGTGGGAATTCACACAGGAAAGCCATTCTTAGGTATTTTATCAAAGTTACGATCTTCTGCACCGTCATTCTAAATACAAAATTCCAGAAATAGACAACGAGCTTGACCCTGATCGATAGAGCCTAGGCCATTGACCAGGCAGTTAGCGACGGTACTTCCTCGCGTCACCGACCTTTGTACACTCGCCATTGGCCGAATTAATAAATAATAATTAGTAAAATTATTTATCTTTAAGATGTGTGGTCATAAGACCTGAAGGAATAACCAGTGGCGGTGGCGGACAAGCCGGACAAATTTCGGACCAAACTAATGAACGAACCACAGATGGGAGAAATGTTGAAGGACGCTGAGGGGGCCCAACTGGCTAACCATTCGTTTACGTGGTCATTATATCTAAAATAAAATATGTTTGTTAATGAATAATTGCATTCTCTTACTCGACTTCGGACTTGGTCCTAAAAGGAGGCCGCGATTCCAATAAAGACCATATTTTTTTTTTTGGCTTTAATCATCGAGGGCATGATCGCCTTTTTGGCTGTAGACACCACATTGACCACAGACAAGGCTCGAGTGTTTCATCAGTTGTTGTGTGTTGCCTAAAGATGGATGACCGACGATAGCCAAAAGCTATCGTATATTTCGATTTCGTGTTATCGCAAAAATACCAGAGACGCGACCAAGACTTTTTTTGCACATCTTAAGTCCGATTCATCATTTTTGGTTTTGATAGGTAATAGCCTCTGCACTCGGCCGATTCTTGTTCACATAGAGAATCGCTGAAGCGAACAGGTGATTTTGCAAAATGTGTTCCAACGTCCAAAATTGGGATTGTTTTTGTAAAATGTAAAAATTCCAATTGGATAAATTTTTATTTATGAAATAAGTTACAAAATCTTTGATTTCTAGTGTGCTCTGAACAGCAATAAGTCAATAAAAATGAAGTTTAACTAAAATCGAAAAACACAAAACTAAAATGAAAACCATAAGCCCCTTGATAGTTTTATTTATATTATGATCCATTGTATAAAAATAAGATACTCAATGATTTCATTTCAGTTATAAGATCTTGGTTTGGGGTGAATAATATTTGGGGTCAATGTTCCAAAGTTTCAATTTTTCGTCAATCCATTGACGAAGTTTGGCCACTCTAGCATAAACTCCGGGTATGTTTTCTTGTCCGCAGCTTACCCCCCAGGCAACAATACCGGCTAACACAAAACGATTCTTCTGGCCCTTAATGGGACACACTAAGGGGGAACCTCCGTCGCCCTTGCAAGTGTCCTTACCCTTTTCTCCTCCAGCGCAAATGAAGCTGTCATGCAAAATAAAGTGCCTTCCAAGGCGAGTTTCGCGAAGGTTCGTCTGACACTGTTGTGCTGGTACCACTGGCATATCCACCTTTTTCAGGATAACTTGGTACTCCCCGTCTTTGCCAAACTTGTTCTTACCCCAACCGGTAGCAAAACAACGATCATAGTCAAAGTTTAGACCAACGTCGGGCAGGCAAACAGTTTGAATGTTCGGTTGGAAGGCGAATGGGCTTTCCAACAACATAACAGCAATATCGTTGAAAAGGGCTCCCTTATTAAACTGTTCATGATACACTACTTCCTTCACATACCGGTCCTCATGTGATAAAACTTCTTGTTCTATTTGCGTATCCCATTCCCCTGCTCTCACTGAAATCAACAGTTTCACATAAGTTACCTCAATAACAGCACTTACATACTTACCAACAATGGTTCTTGATTGTTTGTTATGAACGCAGTGGGCTGCAGTAAGCACCACATTCGGAGCTATTAAAGCTCCCCCACATTCGTACGCGTTACGTGGTCCCTCTTCTAGAAGAATAGCTAACATCCAAGGGAATTCCCCGAACTCGGCCTCTTGGTTCTCAGCTCCAGTAATTTTAAAGCCAACGCCGTTTTTATTCTGGTATCCGCAACCTTCAGGAATTTCAGGAATAAGAGGAAATATAGAGTCGGCTCTCTATATTACAAAATTGGTTAAAAATCGGAGTATTAGCATTTTGTAAATAGGTTACCTTGCTCAGAAGATCACAGCACTTATCCAAATAGCTTTGGCATTCTGAGCCCGTATCAATTCGAACATCAATCAAATTATATCCATCGGTGTTAATCGTGCTATTTGCACACAGCCAACGGGGTACACATTCTTTTTGATCGCCACAAGACTGGTATTGGGTTGATCCAGTTCCTGATGAAACTTTTGGACTGAAAACTGGAGTGCTTCTGGTGGAGGGTGCTTTATTGTTTTCAAAAGTTTTTGCAATTAAGTAAGTCAAGGAATTGTCTTGCGCTCTACATGTGAATATGCAGGCGCATATCATAAGGCCCTTTAGTAATATCATGTTACTGAAGAAAAACATAAGGAAATAAAAATATATTTTGAGTAAATGTACTATAAATCGTTTCTTAATACCTAGTTAAAAAAACAATACCTCTTACATTGCTTAAAATTTTTAACGTTAAGTTCGTATTTTTAAGACTTTTTTCTTTAAAATAAACTATAAACGCACTGACAATTGTTTATTTATATACAAAAGGTAATAATCGAAAATATCATGGGTTTAAACTAGACAAATAACTGGTTTTGGCTTCAATGTAACTTATGAATTATACAATTCATACATTGTATTTGGTCATAAATGTACGTTAGGCAGAGCTATTCTGTCCACTTTATTCATTGAACTTTAACATCTGACAGATTGATTGCTCTTGCTATGGATATTTTCTAAACATCGCTTACAAAGCTTATACCATTGCCTACCACGACTTTATATTATTTTTTAAATGTTTCGTTTTAAACCTAATAAACAGTTTGCTTATTTCACAGTTCGCAAAAAGGGCTTAAATCATATTGAAGTAAAGTGCAATGGATAAGATTGACTTGCCGGAAAGTACCAGTTTGAACAGTTGGTTTCCGGGATTTTTGTCAACCCAGCTGAAGAGCAGGAAAATGCCCTTAAAGAATTTCCCTTTAGCAGCTCTTAAATTAAGTAAAGCATTTTAGAGCAGAAATATTCTTAAATTTCCAAAAGATTCCATTTTTATGCGAGGATATAACATTCTTACAGGAATGTTAAGTAGTTAGCTATTTAACCTATAATCGAAATTGAGTGCACATACTTACATATTGTCAACCTTAATACAGTACTTACTCTTTAACTCAGACTCCTTTAGTTTGATAACTTAGGGAAACGTTCGGCTTGCGATGAACAAAAAATTAAACTGAGTGGATTTTAAATGCAACCTTATGCTTAAGCCGGCTATCTTTGCTTCTGACATTACGACAAGAAGCTTTAAAGCTGACTTAAAATAAAGTTCCCAGCAATTATTTTACACAGTGAAAATCTGTTTGCATTTGGTAGAAAACTACATTTTCTATTTTCAGCTATGGCCTATGAATAAACGTGTGTGCTAAGTAATCAAAAAAAAATGATGTCTGATCTCCTGGGTTGCTTTCTAAGTGATATTAAAGAAAAGTCGTCCTATCTTAATTATGCAGAAAAATTATTTTCGCATTAAAATGTACATTTTTGAACATCTCGGCGATAGGTTTAATGACTGTTAAATAAAATTTCGGTATGTCACAGAAACCTGTACGGGAAAAATTCGGTTGAAATGTACATACCTTATACGTAAGCATCAATACAAGTTTTGCCGAATTTCTGTGACATTCCCAAGAATAAGACATATCTATCAGGATGCAACAGAAATCACATCAGCGCTAAGTCTTGTATACATGTATTATATTGATGAACTTAAGAAACTCACCGCCATTCAAATTTCTGTGCCACCCCTGAAAATTTGAATTTCTTGGCGGGACGAATTAGAGATGTACTAAGGCCTACGCCGCAATCGATAGTCCATAGGTGATGGTATCGATGGTATGAACAAATAGGGTATTCTCTAAAATATTGAATGTCAGTCAGCTGCTAATCAGCTGTTCCAACAAATTCAGTAGCCAGAAATGTCTCACTTTAAAAACCTCGCACTTCGCATTTTTTTACTGTAAAAACCAATACTGGAATTTATTTTCAGGTTCGCTTAACTCAATTAAAATACAGTCACTAAGAACAAAATATAAAATAATTTCATAAATGTGACATCTATTCACAGCGTCTTGGAAAATTAAAATAGTTTTTCACGGCTATTCACTCTATGGTGAAATTTTCTGATGAATTTTAAGAACTAATCTATTTAACATAACAAAATTATTTTTTAATATTTTCATATAGCTTGACTTTTATCCAAACGTATGGAAAGGAACAAATGGAACTGAAACCATTTTTCGATAACGCTGCGTTACAATCGAAAGCATCAATGTGTCTACGGGTTTTGCTTCTAAACGTGTGTGCGTAATATTCGATGCGTTTACACATACATATGATGAACAGGAATTCTCATTTTATTCATCAAATGAACACAACTTTGTAACTCCAAACAAAACGCCGATTTCAATTGTTAAGTACTTACAGAAGCATGGAATCGTTTAAGCAGACTGACGGCAATCGTGACGAGTTGATAATTCAACAGCAACGGGACATTGAGAAGGAGGTGAGTCTGCAGAAAGACATCTTCATAAAGAATGTATAGGGGAATAATGCTAGATTTTAATAACTACAGATCAGCGATACCACTCCCTTGGTAAGCGAGCAGTTGCCGCTAACTTGTTTGTGGGCGGAATACAACGGCGACGAAATCTTCACTGCTAAGATCCAGGACCTCTCCAAAAAGTACAAGTTCATTCGCCGCACCCGCCCCGATGGCAATTGTTTCTTCAGAGCCTTCGCATATTCGTACTTGGAGTACTTGATCTCAAACAGCAGTGCCTATCAGGAGTTCCGAAAGCTGGCCGAAGAGTCCAAGGAAAAGCTCGTTCAGCTGGGATTTCCCAGCTTTACATTAGAGGACTTCCATGAAACCGTAAGTCCGTCCAAACAAATGGGATTAATGTATGCTTATGTCTTTTTGAATTTCTAGTTTATGGAGGTCATCAAGCGTGTTAGTCCCGATAATCCCGGCGGACTCAGCCAAGTTCAGAGCGAATTGCACAAAATCTTCAATGAGCAGGGATATTCAGACTACGTGGTGGTATACCTCCGCTTGATTACCTCGGGAAAACTGCAGGAAGAGGCCGACTTTTACCAGAATTTCATAGAGGGGGACCTAACCATTGAAACCTTCCGACATCTTGAAGTAGAACCGATGTATAAAGAGTCGGATCACATCCACATCATCGCACTTTGCACCGCCCTCGGGGCAGGGGTCCGTGTTGAGTACTTGGATCGAGGAGAAGGCGGCACTGTCAAGGCCCACGATTTCCCCGAGGGAACTGAGCCCAGAATTTACCTGATATATAGACCAGGCCACTACGATATACTGTATCCAAATTGAATTGCTCTTAATAGATTATGGAACGTTTTATGTATATAAGATGTAAAATAAATTACCATTTATTTGCATGTAAATTAAAATGGGCTAATTCTTATAACACCCTCCAGCACATCATGTGGGTTCATTTAAATGGAAGGCAGACATCCCACGGACTAAACCCAGAAATTCGAAACGCACTTTTTACACATATCGTAGATGTTAATTTATTTAAACACTAATCTTTATTATTTGATTTGAACGATTGTGATAGTGACATAATGAAATTGTCTAATGTTTTATAAAATATTAAGTTTTATTAACGGTATTTCGCCATCATTTCTTCGGGAAATTTCTGGCGATGCGCAGACAATGAGAGGTTGACAATAATCTCCCGGTCGTCCATCCGTCAGGCGCCTCCACAGTATGATTTAAGTGTAGGATGATATTGACCACAAGATTTCAGCTCAGTAAAGACTTCCGTAAAAAATCCAGGCTCAGCATTGATTTTAAGCATTTTATCACTAAGCTTGTTTACAATGACGAGGCACCTGTAATAAAAGTACAAAACAATGTAAGATTAAATTTTATGAAGGTGAAAGATATTTTCGAAGCTTAATAAATAAAGATATAATTCAGGAAGTGTTAAGGAAACCATCTTACCTGTCCCAAAACTTCTCCTTCGAGTCTTCAACCAAAAATGGTTTGAGAGGATAGCTGATTTCATTGCCCATGTACGAATAAGACAGATACAAACAGGTGAGTACTGAAGCCTGAAGATCTGATTCCTTGCTTTCTTCTCCGCTAACCAGTTCGCGAACAAGCATGTAGACAAATACCACGTTTGCCGGGTTTATAAACGCTACATCCTGGAAATTAGGAAACATATTTGTTATAAAATTGGAGAAAATTGTATTTTAAATTCGTAGTGTTGGGATCATATTACCTGCCATCCTTGGAGCAAAAGGCTGCGATCCACAGCTCTGAGCCACATAACAGCATCTCCGGCATCGAAATTGTTTAGTCTTTGACAACGACAGTGCAAAAACATTCCCAAGCACTTAAGCAATTCTGAAGTAGATGCCTGCAAATAAGTTGGTCGAGTTCCGGTTATACAGAATTTCAATAATAACTAAGACTTTTATTAAAATATAACAAACAAAAATAAAAAATTTGTATACTTGTATCTTTAAAATCATTTAATAAGTACTTAAACTTATTGATGTAGCAAGATTTTTACAAAACTAATTACAAAAGATTGTAGTTGCGACGACTTTTCTTAAAAACTTTTAAAATTTTTTTTGCCTTAAAGAATAAAAAGAAAGTAGTTTTAACACGACTGGGCTAAAAATATAATTTAAAATAAATATTTACCATGTTATATTGAAGCTATAAGAATGTTCAATATATACAAGACTATGTTTGAAAGTAATACAAATATATTTACTCGAGACCTTCTTTCTGAACTAAGTACGTATGTATGTTTATTGAAAAATGTATTCCAGTTTAGACTGTCAAAATTGTTGTGGAAAATGATCTAAACTTGCAAAGAAAAAAAAGTAATTTCGTATTAAATTTTAAAATAGGTTTGACCTTTCTTAAAAAAAACATAGACGTCTAGAATCAACCGACAAAAAGTGTAAAGCCCTTGTTGTACCAGGGGGTACAAAGGGTTGAAACAATTCTTAAGTGTAAGCCATTTTAGGATCTCCCAAAAAATCAGTTAGGATTTGTCACTTAAGTCCTGCAAAGTTACTCACCTGAATGACGGTTTTGCGAGGGATCTGGTTGGTATTTTTGATTTGAATGGACGATGCCTGGACTTGCTGGGGCAGGCTGAGCGTCAAGGGCTGCTTTTGGATCAGCTTGTTGTGGTTGGATATCGAGTTCTTGTTGTTGACCTTGACGGGGTCTTTCGCCTTGGAAGGGTTCTGCGATTTGCTGGATGGTCCGGTGATGACCTCCTCCCGGATGTCCTGGGCCTGATTCTGGTGCTGATGCTGGTTGCAGTGCTGCTGGTTGTGCTCCTCGATGCGGTTGCAGTGCAGCTGGATGTTTCGATTCTTGTCCGATGAGGAGGCGAAGGAGGAGGACTCCAGGAGCTGGGCCTTGAAGCAGGCCGTGGGCAGATTTGCACACTTGTTCTTGTTCTCGATCTTCTTCTTGTTATGCGATGTGGAGAGCTTCTTCCAGGAGAGGGCGTTTATGAAGATCGAATGCTTCTTCAGGTTCTTCTCGAAGGAGCTCTTCTCCGCCTTGAGGACCGAGTTTTCGTTATGCGTGTCCAGGACATTGGTAATGGTATCCTTCGAGGCATTTGACAAGTTGTTCAAGTTGTGCGAACTCAGCTGAGTTTGTGTCTGTAGGTTTATGTGCACTCCTCCACAAGAACCAGGCTGCCCTATTACGTTCTTGGACATCTGGTGGCAGGCCGACTTCTTGTTTTCCCTGTTCTTCGCGTTATTTAATTGCTCGTACGAAAAGTTATTCAGATGTGAATCAATTGAACCTGTACTGTCGTTTTCGTTTCGAATATCGGTCGAGTGATTATATTGAAAATTTGGCTGAGATGAGTATATGGGATGCCGATCCCGCGGATTAAAACTCAACACCGTTCCCATGGTGGCTGGAATTAAGGTTTAAATCAATAAGACCCTCGAACGCCCTTCCTTGCTCTTGTTGGTAAGGTTATTTTAGAATATTGATTTTTAATCAAAGTACTCATGCTCATATGCATACTCTGCATAGAGGCAGTAATGTGCAAGAAAAATCACATTAACAAAAACTCTTCGCTCAAAAATAATATCTCAAAGTTATTTTATGGATACTACAGGCCAGTTTTTACCTTATTAGTTATATTTGACTCGGGGGAAAAATTCTGCCAAGACGGTTTAAGAACGCGAATATCCTTTTGTAGAAGCACGATGTTATGCCATTTTCAACGGCTGCATAATTGTACTTATCTATGGACTCTGTTTCCACCAATCATATATTTTTTAGCACAGATTTCAGCGTAGCACTTGTTTATGAAAACATCTTTTCGCTACAAGCTTATGAAATAAGTACACAGTCTTAAAATCGATACAAAGTATGCGCAGGCCCAAAAGCGAGGGTGGGCACTTTTCCTTTTTTACATTTCTGAGCATGCCCAGTAAAGGTGTTTTGTACCACTATTTGAATATTGCTAGGACTCAAGCTTACAATGCCCAAACCCTAATTAAAATCGGTAATATTTTTTATGTTTGGATTTTCAATGTTAGATGCATTTTTTTAGAAAGTGTATTCAGCTTTAAAGTTTTAATATTACATTTTATATTACTCCTATAATATTTTAATTAGTAATTAGTAGTTGTAATTTAATTGAAATATTTTTATTCCGTTTTCAGACAACGGTTTTAAAGTTTTAATACAAATGTACATACTCATGTACAAATAGTGTTGTGTAACTTTTAATGTCTCTGGCAGTGCTGAAAACGCATTGCGGCTGTTTATGTTTTTTTGATTGAAGTCTTTAAATATAGGAGGACAATTTCTGTTGCTAATTATATTAATAGCAAGCTATAGGAAATCGAACTATAAAACATTAGAAATTAAAAAAAGTGAGCAAAATGATTCAAGCAAAATAGACGGTCAAGTTTTATTGGTTTCCTCGTGAAACAATCACGAACAGTCCCAGAATGAAGGATATTAATAATAATAATCTAAATTCATTATTTAAAAGACAAACTTCATAAATATATTCTTTATTTCAAAACGGTAACAAAATCAGAGTTAATATTTAATAACAACAAGCTTCCTGAGCAAACCACACAGACTGTGATCGCAAGATCTCCCAAAAGGGATTGAAGGATGAAAAATATACTGCTGAATTGCTTAATTTTGCTGGTAATATTTGGATTGATGAACATGAGCAACATGGGTCCCACGCTGGGCGGCAAATGGTCGCGTTTATGATACTGCAGGAACGCAAGTTCTAAAATCACAAAGAGCAGAACAGGAAAGAAAACGCTGCTATTGGTGTATAGCGCCAACACGAATCCGACGCAAGCCGCCAAAATAATGTGAGCTCGGCTCTTCAGCAACACATTTGGAGCACTGACTTTCGGAGGTGCAGACTGTTCCGGCAAAAATGAGCGTTTAATGGGAACATCCGGCTCCACCTCTGGATCAGAATATTGGGTGTTCGTAGGTCCATCGACTGAAATAGTGAAAGATTAGCATATGTGGTTGTTATTATATGAAAGGAAAATATTTCAAAACACTTATGTATGTCAATAGTTTCTGGAACTATCACAAGACTTTATTTATTTACATATGAATGATGTATGAAAGTAAGTACCATGTACATACAATGTGCATAAAATATCATGTGTTACCAATGTGTTCTTTCTGTATTGCTGAAGCTCTGCCATTTAATTTGTCGAGTCGTGACTTAGAGGCTTCCAATATCTTCTTTCTGCGTAATTCTCGCCTCAAAGCAATAGACTGCTGAGCGGAATTTTCATCCGCTATCAAATCACTATTATCCATATTTATAAACACACGAATAATTTAAAAATGGATAGATTTTGTATGACCGTTTCGAAGTGAAATATGTCAAGATACCGTCGATGGCCAGGGCTAACTTGAACCAACGGAATGCTTACAAGATAGATCCCGTTTCCAGCATTCCATATTTTCATCCTTTTTCCGTTGGAGGTGCGTTCAACCCATACAAAACCAAGTTAGTTTTTCGGAGATTACAAACTATTCGATTATAATTTTTTGTTTTCTAGCGGAAATGTTTTTATTTATGCTATGCTCTGTTATGAGTCGATTTTTGTTATGCGATTTTTAGAAAATAGTTTGCAGCGCGAACGCAATAAAACAGAATCAGCTACTCTGATAATTTTCTGTACAAAAACCCAAATATTCGAAAAAAAAACTATTTATAGCACTTGTACCACATCTAGGCCAAATATCTGGCGGTTCTCTAGTAAAAAAATAAACGCCTGAGAAATATTTGCTATTTAGCTTTAAACGTTTTGTATCGGAAGATTTGTTCTTATCGTTTTGGTAATGTGTCTACTTTGTCCTTAATTAACTAGTTTAACATGTAAATACGAAAAATTCTTTTTAAGTGTATTGATAGGTTTTGATAGGCTTCGCTGACTTTCTACGGCAAATGCCCATATTGATTTTTTTGATTACAAATACAATTTTTTTTTAATCTGTAGGACCCAGAAACAACTGAGTGGAGCTAGTCATGAACGGCTTTATTGTGTTTCTATAGCTAACTATTTCAAGATAATTTACAGAAGCAGGGCATATTCGGATTCAGATTTTAATTCAACTGTACTCCTGTCTTCGGTGTACAACAACTTAGGTATTAAACTTTCGATCCATTAAATGTAAAACATTTTTTACCGTGTAAAACGTAAGCTGGGGGCTTCATTTTGCACCAGCTTTAAAGCTTCTCGCCGTCTCGTGTAAAGCAAAGATCACCTCACATTTGAGGTTGAATCAGAAATCAAATCAGTTGAGTGGATGGTTCATTACTTGACGAACGTTTAGCTTCCTTATCAAACTAAAAAATTAAGGTAATAGTGTACGTATTGTATTAAATTAAAAAACATTAAGATTAAGATTAATAAAATGCCATTAAGGGCACACTCTTTTGCTTCATACTATCTGGATATAATACTCTACCTGTGCGTTTTATGGTCTATGTAAACCATCTGCAATGAATATATATGAATGCATGTGCATTTAATTGAAATCAATCTGTGGGATGTTAAAGTTCAATGAAAACAAGAAAGGAAGATAACTTCGGCAAGCCAAAGTTTATATACCCTTGCACTTATAATTATTAAATTTAAAAATACAAAAAATGATATTCCCAATAGTATAAGATAATATGTCAAAAACACCGAAGCCATAATTTGTTTCATATTATCTGATATAGTCTTCCGATTTTGATAAAATTAAATTCCAAAATCAGAACTAATTAAAAAATGTTATTTCCAAGCGTAGGAGGTTATATGTTAAAAAACACCGAAGCTATAATTTGTTTCATATTATTTTCCGATCGTTCCTATGGCAGCTATATAATATAGTCGTCCGATTTTGATAAAATTTAATTGCAATTCAAAATTAATTAAAAAATGTTGTTTCCAAGCTTAGGAGGTTATATGTTAAACAACACCAAAGATATAATTAAAAAAAAATTTTTTTACGATTATTCCTATGGGAGCTATAAGATGTAGTTGTCCGATCCGGCTGGTTCCGACTTATATACTACCTGCAAAAGGAATAAGACTTTTGGGAAAGTTTATGCCCGATAGCTTTAAAACTGAGAGACTAGTTTGCGTAGAAACGTACGGACAGACGGACATAGCTAGATCGACTCGTCTAGTCATGCTGATCAAGAATATATATACTTTATGGGGTCGGAAACGACTCCTTCACTGCGTTGTAAACTTCTGACTGAAATCAATATGCAAGGGTATAAAAATGTAAAATAGCTCCCTGTATTTTTATGAGTAAAAATCAGAGACAATGGTTGATATATAGTGTATGTGCAACCATTAATTTATATGAATTGTATAATGCACCTGTTAACTTGATCCAAAACCGGTTTGTCTATTTCATTCGCAAATAAATTTCTGTTTTCTTCTAAAGAGAAAAGGTTTAATTGCTATTTCAACCAGCATCGTTAGGTGATAAAAATTATAAATAAAAGTAGGGTTAAGCAAATAGGCATGATTGCAAACTGTACTTATTTATGTAGTACTTGTGTATTTTATAATGAATAATATATAATTTATAAGGTTGTATTAATTAAAATCTTTTAAATTAATGGGGAGAAAGATTTAATGGATCCCAGCTTAAAGCCTAGTACTCACATCGATGAAAACCGGGAGCTAGTCATAGAAGGACCAAACATGCGGCTAACGCTCAGATAAGCTAAGGAAATACCAGAAAAAATACCAGATTTAGCGAGTGAATTTCGATGAACGCCGTTAGCTGCGGCCCAAAGTGTAATCTTTGGCGGTGTTCGTGCAAAGGCGGTATGAAAACTAAAAAATAACAATTTAAGGAAAATCCAAAAATCGAATGCAGGAGGTCAGTGCAGATAAAAAATAACTCGTATTCCAAGCTGTTGTATATTATTGTGGGACTTTACCGACAGGAAGTAATACCACAAAAGGAAAAATGGGCAGAATAGTTGAAGTGCTGGAGGACATCCACTATCCACTGCGTGTCCTCGCAAAGAACGTATGTTCTGGCCAAAAGAATTTCGTTACGATAGAAGTATCTTTTTAGCAGAACCACCAGAACGATCTCCGACGAGCATTCGTAGGACGAAAAGGAAGCTTTAAACTACTAATTTACATAAATAAAAACATTCGTTGAACATTCCATTTTTTTTATTCCAATTTCTTTGTGCTCTTGATTGTTTTGGCAACAAACGCAGCTCCTTGCCAGCAAGACCATGCTACATGTATTGCGGGTGAGCTTTGAAAACTTCGGTCACATTACAAAGAATAAGATTTTTCGACTAGTGAAACTCTCAGCCGATCTGAGTACTAGGCTTTAAGCACATAAAGGTATTTGTATCCGCTTGCTTGGTCCAGTAAAATGTGTCATTCTTTCTGGGGGATTTGCATTTACCTCGTTGGGTGCGAAGTTCCAGCAAAAACATAAGTCGATAGTCCAATACCTTGCTCACCTTGTGTTTACGATTTTTCGATCAAATCAACTCTTTTGGTCCAAATTTTGTTTCTTAAAAGTAATTTTTTTGTTTATTACTGCCCTAAACTTATTTTTCAGTAACAGAATATTTATTTTTCTTTTGCAGTAAAATGATATTACTTAATTGCCTTATAATATGCGCCTGCATATTCACTGGTGGGGCTCAAGATCGTACTCTGGACAACTTGATTGCAGACATTTTCAAAGCCGATGAAACACCCAGCTCCTCCACAACAATCACTCCAGTTGTCAATCCCAAAGATCCGTCAAGCAACTCAGGAACAGGAACAGACAAGGGAACAGAAACTGGAACAGGATCAGCCCAATACCAATCCTGTGGCGATCAAAAAGTGTGCGTACCCCGTCGGCTCTGTGCAAATGATACGATCAACAACAGCGGGGATGGTATAATTGACATTCAACTCGGTACGGGCTCACAATGCAAAAACTATCTGGATGTGTGCTGTGATCTTCCAAACAAGGATATCGTCGATGGACAGGGTTAACTTGAACCAATGGAATGCTTACAGAATAGATCCCGTTTTCAGCATTCCACATTTCCATCCATTTTCCGTTGGAGTTACGTTCAACCCATACAAAATGCTCTGCAAACGGTGTTATGCGATTTAAAAAAAAAAAAAATTCTTTACAACGAGAATGTAATAAAACAGAACAGCTGATTTCCCTTATATTTTTCTGTAAAAAAAGCCAAATAATCGACAAAAAAATAAATTTATACCACATGTAGCACACCTAGGACCAACATCTGGCGGCTCCTTTATGTAAAAATAAACGCCTGACCATTACATACGCAATGTACATTGTGCTTACTTAAAAAAAAACACGTTATATTAAACCTAATTATTTATTGGGACTTTCGATCAGATGTAAAATGCAAAATAAAAACGATTTTATTTTTTATAATAGGCACTACATTGCACGTTTCCCTTGTACAATGTTGAATTTCTCCAACTTTTGGTTCTCAAGCCATCTGACATGCGGATAATTATTCAACATACGATTTCTGCGTATTTTTATGGAGTATTTAAATGCGTTTTTTTTAGAATGTTATTTCGCTTTTAACTTTTTGGCTTGGGACATTTATTTTTTCCATTTCGGTAAAGTGTTTTCTTTGCCGTTAATAAAATAGTTTAACATGTAAATACTAAAAATACCTTTTAAGTATATTGATAGGATTTGACATAAAAATTAATTGAATTATATACAAATTGCTTTGCTTAGTTGAGATACCACCTACTTATGAGCTAATAACGAGTGAAATCATACAGAAATATGTTTTTAAAATATGAAAAGCTTTTTGGCTCGGTTGACTTCCTAGCGCAAAGCAGCCATCGGCGGGATGGCTACCTCATCCACTCCTATCCAAGCTCTACACAAAAACCATCAGGAACAAATGAAAGACCTTATTAACCCTTGAAATGCTCTATGTTAATAACGATCAACTGGAAACTGGGCTCAAATGGGTGACCCATCACAATATCGAGAATCTGGACCGACATATTACATATGAATAAACACGGCATGTTTAATAATTTAGTCAATACCTGAAAATCAGATTATATTTCGACTACACACCTGGCTTCGGTTTGTAAAAAATTACAAATAGGTATTAAACTTTCGATCCATTAAATGGAAACAATTTTTTACTGTGTAAAACGTAAGCTGGGAACTTCATTTTGAACCAGCTTTAAAGCTTCTCGCCGTCTCGTGGGAAACAAAGATCACTTCACATTTGAGATTGAATCAGAAATCAAATCAGTTGAGTGGATGGTTCATTACTTGCCGAACGTTTAGCTCCCTTATCACATTAAAAAAGTCAAAGTAATAGTGTACGTATTGTGTTAAATTAATTAAGAAAAAGATTAAGATTAAGATTAATAAATGCCATTAAGAGCACACTCTTTTGCTTCATAATATCTGGATATAATACTCTACCTGTGCATTTTATGTTCTATGTAAACCATCTGCAATGAATATATATGAATGCATGTGTATTTAATTGAAATCAATCTGTGGGATGTTAAAGTTCAATGAAAAAAATGTAAAATAGCTCTCTGTATACTTATGAGTAAAAATCAGAGACAATGGTTAATATATAATGTGTGTACATTGTACATCCATACCTTAATATGAATTGTATAATGCACATGTTAACTCGATACCAAAACCAGTTATTTGTCTATTTCATTCGCAAATAAATTTGTGTTTTCTTCAGAAGACATCATTAGTTGAGTCGTGTGTCTTTTGTATGTAAATAAAAATAAGTATATGTATATTGGAGACAAAATAGGTTTAATTTATATTTCAAGCAGCATCGTAGGGTGTTAAAAATTATAAGTAAATGTAGAGTTTAAACTCTAAATTTTCATATGTTTTTTAGGTTCAAGCCAGCCTTTAGTTGTCCATAAGGACGAGAATACTGTATTTGGATTGCCTAACGCACTCCTTTTTTGTGTATTGTATTGTTCTTTAGCAATATGACATAAAAAGTTGACCCACCCTAACACATGTCCATTTGTAGGCCCGTAAATACATGAATTTCTTATCGCACGAACTTATATTTAAACCTAAAAGCAAATAGGCATGATTGCAAACTGTACTTATTTATGTAGTAACTGTGTATTTTATAAAGAATAATATATTGAAATAATGTATTGAAATTCAAGAAGAAAACTGGACCAAACTGAAAACAAAATAATCTTTTAAATTTATGGGGAGAAAGCTTTAATGGATCCCAGCTTAAGCACATAAAGGTATCCGTATCCGCTTGTTTTGGCCGAATAAGATGTGTCATTCTTTCCGGGGGATTTACATTTACCTCGTTAAGTGCGAAGTTCCAGCCAAAACATAAGTCGTTAGTCACCGATACCTTGTTCACCTTGTGCTGGCGATTTTTCGATTAAATCAACTCTTTTGACCCAAATTTGGTTTCCTAAAAGTAATTATTTTTTATATTAGTACCATAAACTTACTTTTCAGTAACAGAATAATTATTTTCATTTTGCAGTAAAATGATATTACTTAATTGCCTTATAATATGCGCTTGCATATTCACTGGTGGGACTCAAGACACTTCTCTGGACAACTTGATTGCAGACATTTTCAAAACCGATGAAACAACCAGCACTTCCACAACAAGCGCTCCAGTTGTCAATCCCAAAGATTCGTCAAGCAACTCAGGAACAGGAACAGACAAAGGAACTGACAAAGGAACAGGAAATGGAACAGGATCAGCCCAATACCAATCCTGTGGCGATCAAAAAGAGTGCGTGCCTCGGTGGCTCTGTGCAAATGATACGATCAACACCAGCGGCGATGGTATAATTGACATTCGAATCGATACGGGCTCACAATGCAAAAACTATTTGGATCTGTGCTGTGATCTTCCAAACAAGGTATCCTATTTTAATACATTTTTACTTGCCTTTGTTTAACCTCATTTTATATAAAGAGAGAAGTCCCCATATTCCCAACTGACCCTGAAAATCCCGAAGGCTGCGGATACCAGAATCCCAACGGAGTTGGCTTTAAAATCACTGGAGCGGTAAACCAGGAGGCCGAGTTCGGGGAATTCCCTTGGATGTTGGCTATTCTTCGAGAAGAGGGATCACTCAACTTGTACGAATGCGGCGGAGCTTTGATAGCTCCGAATGTGGTTCTGACTGCGGCTCATTGTGTCCACAACAAACAACCAAGTACCATTGTTGGTAAGAAAGTGCCGTCATTGATATTTCTTATATTTATCTTAAACTGCTGATTTCAGTGAGAGCTGGAGAATGGGATACGCAGACAAAAACTGAAATCATTGCCCATGAGGACCGATACGTTAAGGAAATAGTATATCATGAACAGTTTAACAAGGGAGCTCTTTACAACGATGTTGCTGTTATGTTGTTGGAAAGCCCCTTCACCTTCCAAGCGAACATTCAAACTGTTTGCCTGCCCGAGGTTGGTGACAATTTCGATTATGATCGTTGTTTTGCTACCGGTTGGGGTAAGAACAAGTTTGGCAAGGACGGGGAGTACCAAGTTATCCTGAAAAAGGTGGATATGCCCGTGGTGTCGGAGCAACAGTGCCAGACGAACCTGCGCGAGACTCGCCTCGGAAGGCACTTTATTTTGCATGACAGCTTCATTTGCGCTGGAGGTGAAAAGGGCAAGGATACTTGCAAGGGCGACGGAGGTTCTCCCTTAGTATGTCCCATTAAGGGCCAGAAGGGACGCTTTAAGTCTGCCGGTATTGTGGCCTGGGGAATCGGTTGTGGAGAAGAAAACATACCCGGAGTGTATGCCAGCGTGGCCAAACTTCGTCCGTGGATAGACGCAAAATTGAAAATTTGGAATATTGATCCCAAATATTATACACCCTAGAAAATCTTTCCACAGGGTTAATTGTTTGAGAGAACAGAAGAGCAAAAAATAAATATGTACTAAAATTATGTACGTCACTTGATTAAAATATATACAAATTGTTTAATTTTATAAAAACTATGGGGTGATACGGACATTTGGAATCCATTTATTTTCATATCATTTTAGCTAGCGGCAATGTTAAATTTAACAGTGTGGCATAAGCCTCACAAAAACTAGTCGTTCGCATTGATAATCGAATAATTTCGGAATAAATTTTGTTACAAATTGTTAACATTACCAAAAGGTCGTATAAACGTACGTTAATTTTGGATAACTGGGACATTTTTGGAACAGCAAAACCTTTTGGACAATCCTGCAAAGAAATGGTGGTGCTCTGTTGGAATAGGCTGCTATTCAATTATTTTTTTTATTGTTTTGTAGATGGAATAAAGGACGGTTTACAGATGTACCCTTTAGATACATTCTGTTTTGACTTCTAACGTTAGATGGAATAAATATTTTGCGAAGATTTTTATAAGATGAAATGGTAACACATTGTTGCTTCGATACATTTATCGGATTCCTAAATGATTTTTCGCCCTTAAGGTTTTGGTTATTTATTCAGAATTATTATATTAACAATACAAATGTAATGACGTTAACACAATTATTTATAGTTTCTCCAAACGTCTGGGTGCATATAAAAGAACGTATGCGCAATGCCAGTCTCCACCTCCGGACAGCCGCAAGATCTCTTCTGTAGCCACAGCAGATACCTCATCGTCGTCGAATTTAAACCATACATCGCCACTGGAACGAACCCAAGCCACATAATGTCCCGAGGAACTCGAGCGACCTTTGTGCGTCAAAACGGCTTGCAATGTATAGAATCCAGAGTTGTTGCTGCCTAGGTCGTCATCGAACCAGAACTGCTCGTATTTAATGTCCTTGTTCTCTTCTTTTGCTTCGTTGGGCTTGACAACGTCAACTTCCATCTTCTTGTCCTCCAGATCCTTGAACTTCGAACGCATGGGGCACAACTTGTTTTGCAATTCGGGAGTACACAACTCGAAGGCATCAAACTCAATGGGAAATTTAATATCCTTCAACACCTTAGCATTTATGCCTTCCTTTCCTTTGTATTGGAAGCGCACAAATTGTACGGTAAGATAGGCTGGTAGTCGGCTCACCAAGTACTTAAAAAAGATATTAGTTAGTTTACCAACCCAAAAGTGAGCCTAGAGAGCTTACTGTTCGAATGTACTTTGCATCGCGTCCCAGAGTTTCCGATTTTTTCAACAATTGCTCTTTCATTTTCTGAAAGCGAATATTAAAGTTAATGCAGCTCAACGTTTTTGTTGATTTTACTTACGGATTTAAGTCCGCTCTGCATGTACTTTACATCCATTGAAATAAAGCAACTCAACTGCAGGAAGTTCTCAGTTGTTACGGTTGAGGGTTCATCGGGAAGCTCTTCTGAACTCATCTTAACTTCAAAAGTGCCACCGAAGAATTGGTCAATAAACGAGCTTAAAGAAAACGTAATATATATGTGTATGTTATAAAATGGTATTTTTAGGGTAAAACCAAAAGAATGCCTCACCTGTGTCTTTTCTGGATAGCATTCGATGGATCCTGGTTTGTTGGCCGAAGCTTTTGCTGCAACATTTTCAGGATTTCTGCCCAGCACTCGTTGGCGTCCTGCTGTCTGTAAGTGCCATTTTCGCCGGTCTGGGCGAATTGCGGCGATGCCCGGTGCAATGCCTGCAGCAGAACAATTGGCGTCACGGTTGTGCCCTTCTCCATTTGAGCAAATATGGACTTCATGGCGGACGATATGGAAAATGCAGTCGACATGGTGTCAGTTCCATCGTTACTGAAAGTGGACAAGGCAGTGCGAAGCTCAGGCACTGCATTCAAGCACTGAACAGTGGCATTCATGTAGCACGTATTGCCCAGATTTGTGAGCCCGGCCGGTAAACGCATCTGCAAAGAAGATAATCTCATTTTAGAACGTTAAAGAGATATTTCAAGAACCTAACTAAAATAAACCTACATTCCTAAAACTATTTCGCAAATAAATAAAGTACTTGTACCGAAGAAAGCATTGCGATTCCATTAAGTTAATGCTTAGTGAGCATTAAAAACTTAATTTTATTTTGTTTATTAAGAAGTCATTAAAATTCATCTACAGAGCTGAATCGTAAATACATTAGCGGTTACTGTATGCTCCATATTTACAATTGAGGGTTTAATCAATACAAGTGTTTATGGCATAGTGAATTGTTAAAATGCACTTTGTAAATAAACAGAAATATTTACCATCGAAACATTTATGTTTTACACAAAAGAATATAAAATTGGTCGGATTTTTTTTAAGTTTTTTGTATGATAACATGGTGACTCAGCAAATTTGGTATAAACGAGAATTTATAACTAAAGATACTTAAAAGGGGTAAAAATAGAGGTTTTCTAGTTTCTACATACACATTTTGGTGGCTTACAACCAGAAATTTTCCGAATCGAAATAGTTAATAGCCCGGGTAGCATTACACCGTACTTAAATACCTACATGCATCTTAAATCAACCAAGATACATACCGCTGTGGCGGCTTCCGCTTCATTCATGTCCTCAATAAATTTGACCGGTGTAGCAGGCACCTCTGGAACACTCTCCTTGCTGCCCAGCAACAAGACCACTGCGCCCTGAAGAAATGAAGACTCTGGTTAGGATCAGACACCGGAAACACTTCAGAGGCCGACTTACGTCCTTGATCTGCAAGTTCCACTGATCATCCTTGAGAATGCCACCCTTGCACATAACTTTCTGGCGATCCGGTTGAACGCCAGTAAGGGCAAACAACTGGGCCTTAAACAATATCGGCTCCTCATCGGTGTTTACATCGATATCTGTGTAGAGCTCCCGGCCCCACTTCACCTTAACTGAAAGCAATACGATCAAGATTTGTAAAAACAACAGCCGTAAAACACTAGATACCTTTAAATGCGGGCATGGCTAAATTTTTCGTTAATAAAAGTTGTTCTTTCTGTAAAATTCAAAGTCATACTAGCCGAAGCAGAGATGCGCAAAAATACGATATTTTTTTGCATTGCTAACTAGATCAACTGCACGAAAGATGTGTCACGTTTGGAACGCTGGAAATGGTACAATTTGGCATAGGTCTGCAGAAAAATGAAATCATTTTGGAGAAATTTTAGTTTTCGAATAAAAAAGAAGTGGAAGAGATATACGATATATATCTACAGACTTATACCAAACGCTTAACCTTTTTTGATGATGTTTAAATTTTACTTTTTTATTCTGTTGAATTGCTAAATTGTTTAAAATTATATTGAAACATTAATCAAGAAATGGACCTTAAATGGATCTTGTAGAATTTTCAATCAGTTAGTTTTCCATGAAAATATGATGATCCTCAGTAAAATTCCATACAAACTTATCTTCCATCACCTATAAGTTCTGTGGTAAAGCCAAGAATACAAAAATCCCATGTCTACCAATTTTGTGGCTTATAATTATTATATATCTTAAATATGTTCGCTAAAAAATAGTCTCTATCTTAAACCATCAGAAAAAATGTGAAAGACTAAGAAATTTCGACTTTGTCGTCAAATTACAAAGACATGGGCAATGGCTTACTATTTTTAGCGAAGCCGTCATGTATTTAGAGTGTGTTTCAGCGAAAATTTTGAAAACAAGTCGGATTATGTAGGCCACATAATTCAACATGTGGGCAAACATGTTATTTTTTATACCTAGCCATACTGCGAAACCTGTAGTTGATATTAAACAAGTTAGTACAGGGCTTATACTCATGAGCACTCAAATATCATGGAAAACTAAAAATGGTTTGTGGAAATTTCACAAAGTTCCATTTTGTGTTCCTGTGTTGTTCGTAAAGCTTCTGGGTACTAAACACATAATCAATTTGGCATTTCATTGTTAGTAAATAATTAACAAGGTTAAAAGAACAAAAAATATACCTTCTAAAATTATTTTTATGTATATTATCCGGACTACATTGTTATGGAGTTTTCATGGCATTTTGGTTAAATAAGGCAACAACTCTGGCTTTTAAGGACTTAACAGACTCAAAACAAATGCCCAAAAATTGTGAAAATTGAATTTGTATAGAACAGCTGACCAAAATTAAACAATTCAGCAATGCAAGTTAAGGAAAAAACAAACACTTTCGATAAGAGTTTAATAAGTACAATTTGATCTATAGGTCGTTGTGGAACTGCATATAGTTTTTTCATTCATTCCTTTAAATATAAGGTTTATTAATACATAGGGTACAAATTGTAAATGTTCAAAGCATTCTCACTGTTCCCGTGCGTTAAATAGCAAGTGTGTTTCGATTCCATCCTTCTGGTAAAGACGAAAATGACATGGTCCGATTACCATACTTTTTCAACCACCCTTAATATCGATAAAACAGCTGATACTTTTCCAAATTCTTTCTTATAATTAGTTAATTGCCCACATCGGCAGATTTATTAGAAAATAATCCTATTAAAAAGATAAAAGATGAATGAAGCGGACAGTCTTGCGGAAATTTTTAGAGGCGGCTTACCTCACTGCCTTATCATTGTTTTTTCTATGTTGTTAATATGCTCACCGGTAATGCCAAGCGAATTCGAGGTTATTTCCATGTCCAAATACGATCTAAATGGGCAACATTATGGTAAGTAAATAAAGGAAAAGATAAATATTAATTATGTAAGTTTGTTGTAAGGAATGCCTCGGACGTTTGTACCCAATACATTTTCGGCGGTGTTTCTGACCTAAATGTTTATGAACGTTGACCAGGTCTTTTCTCCTTTATTTAATTAGTAAAGTTGAATCTCATTAACATAAGCAAACGTATACCTCTTTTTTTTTTTTGTTTTACCTTTTGAAGATCCCATTAAGCTCCTCTTTGGACTACCCTTTGTAACTAATCATTATTCTTATCCGGTATTTCTGGAGCTGAAGCTTAAACTAACTCATACAATAATGAAGTATTCTTAACAATTCAACATTTACTTTCTTTATACTTTAAGGAAGCCGGGTAGCAGCAATATCTCTTGAAGCGAGATCTTTGTATTCATGGAACACGTCTAGGCACTGTGTTCTCACACGGTAAGGACACATTTTAATCTATAAAATAATAAAACATAACATCTGCAATTAAAATCTATTACTTGCAGGTTAACCGACTTGTCTATTCACGATTTTGACAAATTAAGGCAAAGTGCTGGAGGACTAGTCCTTATGTTGCCGTCGAACGTCTTGGATCTAGATCTAGAAACCAAAGAACTTATAACTATTTTAGAGCAATCCATGCTGACACATACAGCTGCGGTGCCCATATACTTTGCACCGTACAATAAGGATTTGGAAAAGATCATCGATGACATTACCTATACGACCACGGATAACGCGGGTCAAAATCAAACGGCTCTGGGGCAATTGATTGTAACAGTTTCGGCCAACAGATACCATGTGAATGTTGGGGGAGGAAGTATTGTGGCCAATAAGAACAGCAAAGTTCCTATTATCCACGGCGAACTGATTCCAAATCAGTTGGCCCTAAAACCCACAGAAGCAGTTGGCGATGTGCAGAAACTTCCAGTCATCTTGATAACCGCAAATCTAAAAACCTTTGGAATATATAATGTAAGTAATTTGCAGATATTTCTACATCAAATGTTGTACTTTTTTTTAATAGTAAAAGCATCTTGGCTGCTTAATAAAAATCTACAGAAATCATCTAAAATCTTTAAAAAATTCGTGGCAAGTCACTTAAAATGTATACAAAAAATATTTTACAATAACGATTTACACGTGGTAGTAATACCTTAACAAAATTCAAGTTATGCATGTGTGAGCCTCCGAGATAAGAGCTCCCTATCTAAAAGTTTATGATCTTTATCTGAGTTTTTCTGAGTAGTTTCAAGTTTCTACACAATTATTTAAAAGGTAACAACTGCTAATCTATAGTAGGTGTAATCAAATATATCTAAAAACAAAATTAATTATTTTTTGTAATGCAATTTTTTTTCCCCTGATATCATTTAGGATTATCCAGTGAATGCTGATGCTGCTGTTCTACTGGTGCTAATGGAACTGTTTAGCAAATTGCACTACACATCAAGTATGGCACCGAAGTATCGCCTCCGATTTCTGCTTTCGGACGCTGGCGTCCTACTAAACTTCCAGGGCTCAAAGAAGTGGCTCGAGGTTGATGATAATGCGCTCCAGGTTTGAATAACTAAATAAAACGAGACATATACAGATTTTAATTTAAATTTATTATTCTTCTAGAACGTTGAGTTTGTTCTCTGTTTGGACACCATAACCGAAAGTTTATCTTACACTGCAGACAATGCTTTGTACATGCATGTCTCTAAGCCACCCAAGGATAAGACTTCTATCAGTAATTTCTTCAAGCTGTTGAAGTCATCAGCTGAGAAGTATTCGAATGGACTAACGGTGGAGGGTGTGCATAAGAAGATCAATCTAGCTGACACCAAACTTGCATGGGAGCATGAGCGCTTCAGCATCAAGCGCTACCCTTCATTTACCTTGTCGTCCGTAAAGAGTCCGAGAAGCCCCATCCGGACCACAATATTCAAAAACGATGAGAGCAGCATTGTGGAACACACTCTGAACACGTCGCGAATTATTGCGGAAGCTCTGGCTAGTTTTATGTACAAAGTGGATCCGATTTCCAGCATTTTCGATGGGCAATTGGTAAGTTACACACTATTTTGGTTGATGACCATTATGATTAACACATTCTCTTTCGATTCGGTAGGCTATTAAAGAAGAGAACATCTTGCCATACTTTGGAGTAAAATCCATACTGCATAATAATGACGTAAAGGATGCTTTCGAAAAATACCTTAACAATGTTAAAATCATTTACGATAAGCCTGATGGTAGAGATCCGGAATTCATGTTCTACAATGAGAACGATGTGAAACTGAATGTTTATAGAGTTAAGCCGGCGATCTTCGATCTCTTCCTTACCATTGTTATTGGCGTTTATCTATTGGCTGTATTCCTCGCTATACAATACTTTCCCCGGTTTTACGACGAAGTATCGAAGTTAACAAAAGAGGATCCAGTGGGACAACTCAATGGACACTCTTCTGAACGACTTAAAATGAAATCCCATTAGTAACAAAATGGTATTGAGTAATATTTGCAAGTAGGAAAATTTAAGTCAAAATTATTTTTCAAAACTTTACTAATGATAATTGAACACTTGTTACTTTAAAGATAATAAATTCTATAAAACTGTAGAAGTCTGTCCACGGTTGATGTGGCGATCATAACTGACCCTGCGTATCTCCGTGTTTGCAATTAAAATATTTTCTCTTTTAAATAAGTACATTTTTTTATTTTATTGCGTATAGATTTGGTTTTGGTGTAATATTATTACAGTAATATAAATATGTTTGTTTAGCGCATAATTAATTTAACTCGTTAACACGAGCCGTTGTTGAAACTAGAACTAGCTGAATTATGAGCTCGACTTGGTTTAGGCAATGGGTTCCAGTCCAAGTTTGATGAAGTAGGAGATGACTCCCTGAACTGACCCTTGAATTTGCTTATCTTGCTTATAAACAAATTATTTTGGGATGGTAATTCATTGGTATCCGAGGTACTAACAGAAATATTGGTAGACGTCACTTCCTTGGAAGATCTATTATTTACGTTATTTAACTCATTGGGATAGTTGTATCTATTTTCCGCATAGGAGGGTGTTAAATAGACTTTTGTGCCCTTGGCTGCACTTTCACTTAAAATCTTCTGATTTCGACTTATAGATTCTAGCACTTCCTTAATGGACTTCTTCTTCCTCATCCGCGGTGTTGGTGTAGCATTTGATTCCCGTTCAGCTGAGATTGAAGACCGGAAGCGATCGTTTCTAAACCTTTCTCCAATTCTTAAATCACTTTCCAGATCAAACTCTTCTCTTATTTGTAAAACTTCGGTAGTTTCAGCTGGGTTTGGTTGAACTACATTTGAAACAAGGTGGTTTTCATTAATCTTTGATTTTGCACCGTTTACGTTTGGTATTTCTTCCACATTTCTTTTTGGAAGACTGATAGGACCACTGGAACTAATGTTCTCTTCAAAGATCTGAGAAATTTGCTTGACCGTGCCAAATGAATTCGTTTTTCTATCTTCTACATATGGGCTATCACTTGGCTCCAGATCTGCGCTCGCATTTTCAGAATCATTGGTTGGTTTGACATTATTATAGACAACAGACTGTTGTGTTTTGGAAGTGCTAGGGCTAATAGAGTCTTTAGAATCTACCAAAATGACTGATTGCTTCAAAATTTCTGTATTATTTGGAATATCTGCCTCATTTGAAATGTCCTTAATAACTAAGGGCTCCTCTCTGATGTAAACAGGTATGGTGCCGTTTTGCTTTTTGTTAACTTTCTTTTCATCGAGTTGAATGACAAAATCGTTATTTGGTTTTTGTTCGGAGCATACTGTTATGTGTTCAGAGGATTGGTTAATATGAATGCTGGCAACACACTCAGGTGTTTTGGAACTGCTGGGTTTGATTTGGCTATCATTGTTAGAGAAAGTGACCTTTTGCCCCTCAGTGGATGTGCACGGTATTTTAGGTTCATTGGACTGTATTATGTGTACTGTGCCATTGCATTCTGGTTTTGGGGAAGTGCGGGTATTAATTTTGGTTTTAGAGTCAGAGGTAGTGACCTTTTCCTTTTCAATGATTGTGATTATTCCATTGGATTGCTTTATATCAATGCTTTGTGGTGCTTTGGACGTGCTGGGGTTAAGTTCGCTATCGGAGATCGTTGCAGGTTGATTTGCTTTCGGTAGTTCCTCTCGAACTTCTTGTTTTATTAAAGATTCTTTTCTGTTGTTAACAAACTCGTCAATTTCAGAGGCAAGAGACTCGATGTCTTTGGTAGCTAGGTAGTCCTGGACCTACGAGCGAATTTAAGGTTTAATTTAACTAAACATAGAATAAAAATAATTGTATTACCACTAGTTTTGGCGGCGGCGGAGCTCTCCTCTTCTTCCGATATCTTCTACTACTCATCGGGGAGCTAGGACACGAATCCGGTTGCGATTCGAAAGGATTTGAGCTTGCAAGACTAGATTGAGATAGCCTACAAATAACATTCGTTACATTTTTTCATAGGGACTTTTGAATGTTTGGACTTACCTTAGGTTCTGTTGATTTGGCGAGGAATATCCAGAAAACTGCGTAGTGCTTCTGTACCGATCATTGCGATTAAAGAATGTCGCATTGGAGATTGAATCAGACTAAATTTGTCAAGAGTAGTAATCATTAAAGATATTAGTAAAGATATTAATATTTACCTCTCTTCTAGCACCGATATCTTGAAGGGATGTGTGACGGTCACCTCGAAAAACTCTAGAATTCAAATAGGAACTATATGAGTGTTTATAAACTGCCCTTAAATGCAGGTCGTAGTGTTACACACTTATCATTTAAATCTCGTCTTAGGGTCGGCGGGCTCTCTGATGTTTTATTTATTCCTAGCGTTGAAGACTTCTTTTTACGAAAAGAATATGATTTCCTAAAACAGAGAAGTGAAATACAAATGCATTTAATTTCTTTAATTAAAATAAGATTTTTTGTTAAAGAAATGAGTAAATTGTCTATAAATCCATCTCAAGCGTACAAAATTGGGGCATAGGATAAGTTATTTTTACATTTTACTGATCGAGATAAATAAAATAAAATAAACTCACCACAACTCTTGCAAGTTTCCGATAGACAAACTATGCCTGCCATTTTCGTTCTTTTTTTTGCTAAACCCCCAAAATCGAAGGCGTTTGTGGTTATCATCTTCGTAGAAGGGATTTAAATGTTCCGGGTAGTTGTAAATTGATATGTGACTAGTATTTCGCTTATTCCAACTCATTGTTGATCAGTGTTTATGCCCGCGTTAAATAAATCTGAAAGAAATAACTACTTATTAGGAAGAAAATAAGAAATACGATTTTAATAAAGTGTACCGACTCTAAAATAAGATGGCTGTACATCAACTCAAAGGCTAAAATGGTCAAGTTCACACACACATGAGTTTATAGGATTCCAAAGTGTTTCTCTAGTTGATTTATAAATTTGTCCGAATGCAATATACCCTTGATCTGAGTGATTATCGAGTATAAATATAATCACCGGTATGACAACATTACTATACATATGGGATGGGTGCAGTACGTTTCTATCTACAAACCGGGTTTGGTGGCCTTCGAAATTGGTTATATGAACTATAAAGTATAAGTATATTTTGTCAATCAATCTATTAGATGATCATTATATATGAAATATTTATTAAATTAGCACTGCTTCTGAAATATCAAGCGATAGGATCTTATAGCTCAAACAACTATACGTTAGGCACAAATACACCTTAACTTTTACCAGAATTGATTTCGATTACGTATTTTCGTAACCATGCTCTTATCGGATAATTATCTGTTATAATTATACAATTACTGCGGACTTTCTTTCGGTTTCGCGATGCAATTTTAAATTCACCACGGATGACGGATTAAGAAGGTGACGATTAATTTTTAAGTTTAGACTATGATTGATCCGAGGCTATATAATATGCATTCCTCTTAATTAATATAAAATATTGTTTCATGAGTAATAACATTCAGAGACTGAATTTCAGTCTAAATTTTTTCTTAGCACATGATATTTTTAATGCTGTTATCAAAAGTTTAAATTTGCTTCTCAATGCTGCATTAATATTATCTTTGTTTTAATAAATAATAACTTCATATCAAATACTGGGAATTCCAAATGATTTTGGTTTTGATCGGTTCAGATTGGTTCAGTTGGGCATCCCTGGAAATTTTTCAGATACGCGGCTAAACAAATGAGCTAGAGATCGGCGCGTGCTGAACACGATCGGTTGGGATGACCACATATGCACACATCACATCGAAATCTATAACATCAATATTATGATAGCTCACTATAGACACTTTCAATAGTATTTTTGGTTAATCTAGAATCATATGATCGAACGCACTGAGCTTTGTGTTGATTTCTACGGGTCCTATATTTATTTAGTAATATCAACTTTTAAACAAGGGATTAAATTGTTTTAGATACTTCGGAGCTTTCTGCTTTCGCCAATTTAACAGGTACAAAATGGTCACGCACGAAGTTTTATTATGACACACGCGCACGTCACTAATGTGAGATCATTTAGATTATTTTAAACACAAACAAATAGACACTTTTCAATCTACACACATTTTTGTGTACATGCACATATATCAGGGGTATAAACATTAGCGTTATATAAAGAATTTTCACATTCGGCTATCACTTTTGTATCCATTTACAGATTAACTATCGCATATAAGCTTTGGGTACACATAAGTACAAATGTAGATAAAAATATACACAGGTATGGCCAAGGAAAAGGTAATGTGTTCCAGGTGACCTCAAATATTTACGGCAAGCTTTTCGCGATACTCACCCACCGAGTTGTACTTTAAGACTAAATGAACGTGATGAACTTTATATACATAGATAGAAAGCTTTGAAATGTTTCGAGGGCTTTTTAAAAGTTATAGTATGGTTGCACATGAACAAATACAGAAGCGAATGAATGTGACGATTCTATTATGATCGCTGAAGTCGATGCAGGAAAAAAAGAACCTATGAGAATAATGGCACTTCGTCTAGAAATTTAAACTTAAGGAGGGATCGTGTTGCTCCAATCGAGTTATTCTTAAAAAGAAAATAATTACAAAATTATCAGCAAAAAATAAGTAAATATGAGTAATTTTAAAGGAAATATTTTCGCTGTAAAACTTGAAAAGGTGTGTTCAAGTTTTTTTATTATATCCATTATGTTTATGTATTTTTTAGATAGACGTTGCAAGAACGGAAGTGGAGAAATATTTTACAGACAATAATTGTGATTTAAATTAGTAAAGTTAAAATAAAAATTATAATAAATATTATTAATAATAATTTGTTACAGTTATTATTTAATAAAAAAAAATACTGTATTCTGCAGTTTTTACTGTAAAATGAATTCAATTTATTATTGATCAATTATTTTGATTAACTTAATAGGGGGTACAAATGTAAGGTAAGTATCTTGTTGAAAACAAAGTCGGCTTTTACCTTTAATGCATACATATTCATTGACAAAATTATTTACTTTTTTTAACATAATATGGGAAGAAATGAATGTTTATTACCCTTTTGGTAAGTTATAAAGTAATAGAACAACTTTCGCAGAATTGAATGGAATTAAGGCTTGTGTATTGAAATCTATCTTCATTTATGGAATGCATCCACACCTTTTATTTTAACTGTCATAATAATTTTAAGGTTGAACACATTAACTTCATTAACAACAACATTACAAAATCTTTGTTTTGGTGAGAAGGCGGCCTCTTTATTAACTGAAACACAAAATTAAAACAGTCGTAAAATAATTATAATTATATTAAGATAACCTTTATAAGTCGATCATTGTAATAAAATATAAAATATTTGTTTCCTTTTTTCAGCATAACAAACACTGGTGGCTCAAAATTTATGTCGGTCCTGTGTAATATGTGAAAACACACAAACTGCAAGATGCATCCTATTTCACTTATATTTCGTGTTAGCAATGGAAAGGTAAAAAATGTTAATTGCCTATACGTTCATTTCAATTTGTTCTATGCATGTCTTTCATTTTTTATTTTCTTTAAAAATTCCTTTGTTTTTAAATGAGCATTATTTACCGTTTTTTTTGGTAAAATATATATTTATATATTAAAACACGTTTTCTTCTCTCGATTCAGAAAGACTTTCTCGAATAAAATATACTCTTGCTCTCATCGAGTTCAAGAAGTATACAATTTTAAAGATCTTACTCACATTTTATTTACAAGTGTTCCAAAAAAAATAATATTTATTGGAACGTTTTTGCAAAATATTAAAATTTAATATATATTTATAATTTAGCCAATACACTATTACTTAATTTACAAAGTCGTTGATGCCCAAACCGATTAGATGTCTGAAAGGTCACAATGACATTTTATTTTTAATCTATAACACAAAGAACGCGACAACTGTGAAAATGTCCAGGCTCAGCTTTATTACATAATATAGAATACAAATTGATTATATATAATACACAAACCTAAAAGTATCGACTATGGAATACCCAAAAGTTAACTATTAATTGTAAGGTTGGTGAACTAAAACAGGATGTCATACAATTGTTATCTTTTGTTAAACATACTTACAATAAAATCTTAAGCCAATGAATTAAATGTAAAACAAATTTATAGTAGGTGGTGTTCCTTAGTCGTAATATAAGCGCCCACCTTTGGTTTGAATTGAATGTTTTGAATTAAAGCATTTAAAGCGCGTTATCAGTTCCTCTAACCTCCGCCAATGAAAAATTCATCTCGACAAGTGAAACATTTGTTAAAGACACACGCGACAAATTATTTCACCGAGTAATAGTAAAGTATTTGCCATTTTTACTGCCTAATTTAATTTTATTAATTTCATTTTTTAGGATCCATCTTCCTATAGCGGTTCAGAGACCGGGGATATTCTATTGAAGGCTACCTCTGAGACTTTATCGCCAAAAATGGTTGTGGATTTTGTCGCCGGGCTGATCGGAGGTAAGTCTGCTTGAAAATATGTACCATATATCTGGCACCTTATATCAGATATTTCGTTTTCGAACTCCAGGTGCGGCTGGGGTTCTTGTTGGCCACCCCTTCGATACCGTGAAAGTCCATTTGCAAACCGATGATCCTCGTAACCCCAAATACAAAGGCACATTCCACTGCTTTCGGACGATACTGCAAAGAGACAGCTTCAGAGGATTGTATCGAGGAATTAGCAGCCCCATGGGTGGAATTGGATTGGTGAACGCCATCGTTTTCGGAGTGTACGGAAATGTTCAGCGATTGTCCAGCGACCCCAATTCGCTGACGTCACACTTCTACGCGGGCTCTATCGCTGGCATAGCCCAAGCTTTCGTCTGTGCACCCATGGAGCTGGCCAAAACGAGACTCCAATTGTCGTCGCAGATTGACAGCGGAATAAAATTTACTGGACCCATCCACTGCCTTAAACACATTCTGAAAACCGAGGGTATTAGAGGGACTTTTAAGGGGCTAACTGCCACCATTCTAAGAGATATTCCAGGTAAGTTCTATTACTTTTAATATATGAAATATAGTGTCATATAAATCTAAAGAGGTTTTTTACTACATTGTCGTTTAAAATATACTGTAGCAAGCTTTAGAAAGGTTTTTAAAACGTTAACGATCCAAAGGGAAACCCTTAAAAAAAAAACCCTTAGAATTAACAACATATATTTAAGTATTTGCTAGAAAATATTCAATATATTGAGTGTCATCGTCTTCGCAAATATACAATCATTTTCGAAACGACAACGATGCTTAGAAATCTGCCTAAACATACATTTTATGTTAAAAACTAAATTATAAGACGAAAAGAAATATGAGATTATATCAGATTTGGCACCGTCTTGAATGGCATCTGTATATTACTTTAAATTTATAAATGTTTAGAATGGAAAGAGGAGAGAAATCAAAGTCCTTATTTTAATAATGCTCCAATTTCTTTTAGGCTTTGCTAGCTACTTTGTTTCCTTCGAGTATCTCATGCGCCAAGTGGAAACTGCGAGTATTCCGTACACTCTAATGGCCGGAGGATGTGCGGGGATGTCTTCCTGGTTGGCCTGCTATCCCATCGACGTGGTCAAAACCCACATGCAAGCAGATGCCCTGGGCTCGCAGGCCAAATATAACGGATTCATCGACTGTGCAATAAAAGGCTTTAAAAACGAGGGCCCGCAATTTTTTTTTCGCGGGTTAAACTCGACTTTGATCAGAGCATTTCCGATGAACGCCGCCTGCTTCTTTGTGGTGTCCTGGATACTGGACTTTTTCAATGCCAAGAATGGCGTGGATTCCGTAATGCACGCTGATCAGCCACTAACCCTTGTGAACTTGGACAATAGGACTCAAGCGGATTTGGAGACGACGTCGCCAACGGTGGAGGAAGTTGTGCGGAAAATAATAACGGACAATGCCATAGCTCATCAGTATGTTCCCAAGCCTCAGGACGTCGTTCACAACCAATTTGCAAGTAGCACAATTAACCTTTCCAAGGAATCAAAATCCCGATTAGCATCCGATTGTAATTTAAAATAAATCAAATTTGTTAGTGCTTACCTTTTTAAATGCTCTTACTTGTGAATTACTCAATGGGTTGACCAAAGACAATATTATTTAGAAAAATATCTCAAATTTTAAATCATATCTAAAGATTTCGCATTTGCGATCCATAATTTATGTTTATTTCAACGTTGTGATTAGATAATACAATTAAATAATTTTAAACTTAGGTGCCTGCTCTTAAGAGCCGCAGGACATGCAAGCGTCCTTATTTTCAAGAGAACAAACCATATCGGCCATTTTTCGCTCTCTGTCCGATTCGTATTTTTGGGGGCTATCCTCAGAAGTGCCATTTTGGCCATTTACTTTTAACGCGCCCTGATTCTTGTCTACAGTGAACTGAATAGCGTTTGCAGCTGGCTTTGTGCGCAGGTAATACATTCCAGTTTTTAGACCAGCTTTCCAGGAATAAAAGTGTATGGAAGTAAGTTTTCCGTAGTTTGGCTCTGCCACATGAATGTTGAACGACTGACTCTGATCTATAAACGCACCTCGATCTGCGGCCATCTTAATAGTGGACTTTACTGAGATTTCCCACACAGTTTTGTACAGATCGCGAACCTTCTGGGGGATGGCCTCAATATTTTGGATTGAGCCCCTGCTGGAAATGATTTGGTTCTTCATATCGTCGTCCCACAAGTCCAGCTCCGTTAGGTCCCTTAACAAATGATGGTTAACCACTTGGAATTCTCCAGACAGAACTCGCCTGGTATAAATATTCGTTGTGTAAGGCTCGAATGATTCGTTGTTACCCATAATTTGAGCAGTAGAAGCAGTGGGCATAGGAGCAACCAACAGGGAGTTCCGGACACCGTGCTTCTTGATGGACTCCTTCAGTTTCTGCCAGTCCCAAAGGTTCGTTGGCTCTTTGTCCCACATGTCGTACTGCAGAATTCCTTTGCTCACGGGGCTTCCCTCATAGGTTTCATATGGACCTTCGATCTGGGCCAGTTCACAACTGGCTTCCAAAGCGCCGTAGTAGATAGTTTCGAAAATCTGCTGATTCAAGAGGCCGGCTTCATCACTTTCATAGGGGAACCGCATGAGAATCAAGGCGTCAGCGAATCCCTGGACACCGATGCCCACGGGACGATGCCTCAAATTGGATTTCTTGGCCTCTGGCAGGGGGTAGAAGTTAATATCGATTATCTTGTTAAGATTCTTGGTAACCGTCTTGGTAACTTCCTTAAGTTTCTTGAAATCGTATGTCTTCTCGGGAGTGACAAACATGTTGAGGGCGATGGATGCCAAGTTGCAAACTGCAATCTCATCCGGAGCGGAATACTCTACGATTTCTGTGCACAAATTGCTACACTTGATGGTGCCGACATTCTGCTGGTTGCTCTTCCTGTTGCAGGCATCCTTAAACAACATGTAGGGGTTTCCAGTTTCGACCTGTGCTTCAATAATGGCAAACCACAGGGATTGAGCCTTAACAGTTCTGTTGGCACGACCCTCTTGCTCATATTTCTCATACAACTTTTCGAATTCATCGCCCCACACATCGTGAAGCCCAGGGCATTTATGTGGGCACATTAGCGACCAATCTCCATTGGCCTCGACGCGCTTCATAAAGAGATCGGGTATCCACAGGGCGTAAAACAGATCGCGGGCCCGATTTTCCTCCTTGCCGGTGTTTTTCTTAAGTTCCAGGAACTCAAAGACATCCGAGTGCCAGGGCTCCAGGTAAATGGCAAAGGCACCGGGACGCTTGCCACCTCCTTGATCCACATAACGCGCCACATTGTTGAAGACCCTCAACATGGGAACCAAGCCATTGGATGTGCCATTCGTTCCGCAAATCGAGGTGCCCTTTGCCCGGATGCAATGGACGTTAAGTCCAATGCCGCCGGCCGATTTCGAGATCAAGGCACACTGTTCCACGGACTTAAAAATGCCCTCGATAGAGTCGGCCGTCATGGTCAAGAGGAAGCAAGACGACAGCTGCGGGCGATTTGTGGCAGCGGCAAAAAGTGTTGGCGACGCATGCGTGAAGTATCGCTCCGACAAGAGATTATAAGTTTCCACGGCCGCATCTATATCCTCCCCATGGATTCCGATCGCCACGCGCATCAACATATGTTGCGGACGCTCTGCAATTTTTCCGTTTCTCTTCAGCAGATAGGAACGTTCTAGGGTCTTAAACCCAAAGTAGTTATACCCAAAGTCGCGGTCGTAGATTATAGAAGAGTTTAAGCGAGTGGCGTTCTTTTTCACCACATTGTAGTGGAATTCCGATACTAAGGGCACTTTCTGATTCGTTTCCTTATTCTCATGATTGTACAGATCATCGAAGACATCTGATTGAAACATTTGTTTGATTATTCTGACTTAAATATTCCTAGGGACGCAGTTAACTTACCAGAAAAAACCTTCTTTGTTTCCTTGTGCAAATTGGAGACTGCGATGCGAGCAGCCAAAATTGCATAGTCGGCGTGATTACAGGTTAATCCAGCTGCTATTTCTGCAGCCAAGTTGTCCAGTTCCTGAGTAGTGACGCCGCAATACAGACCATTGATGACTTGCAGGGTAATGGAGACCTATAATGGCATTGCATACCTTAGCTTTAAAAAGTTTCGAAATCTTATTGCTAGCTGGCTTTCCTAATATCTCTATACTACTAATGCTTTTCCAACTATAGATTTATAATTTAATTCCTATAAGTATTTCGCATTTGGAGGTGTCTCACATGGGTCCTTCACCAAAACCGTTTACCGCATTTATTGCAGGAGTTTTAAAATCTCGTGTAATAAATTAATGAAACCTATAAGACCTGCATACATATTTACAAAAAAGAATTCAACTTACAGGATCAACAAAATCCATGTTCAAGTTATAACAAAGCTTCTGGATTCTTGAGGTTATTTTATCGAAGTGTACTTCCTCCTGCCTGCCATCTGAAATGAATATATTTAGAACAATTGCAACTATACTACAAGCTAACTTACCTCTTTTAATGACATATAACTTGGATGTTTTCATAGACTTATTCTTCAACATGTTGACTGCTAAGTTTCACAAGAGGCGGAAAATTGCTTGTTACAAACACAAAAAGGCGCCAATTTAATGTCAATTATAGTGTTACCGTTCAACGAGATCACCAAATGCTTCAGATCTTGAGCATATTTTTGAAACGATCCAGAATAAGTGTTATTCCACTTTGTTCCACTTGATAAAATTAATATTTTTATTTAGTTGCTTAGTATATAGAATATTTATACAAAATTTGAAGCAAATCAAATCATTTTATATGCGAAAATATATTACAATTATTTAAATTCCGATGTATGTTCAAAATTCGTAGTAGCCCAACTGAACAAACACGATTAATTCTTTTTTGGTAATAATATAAATAATTTGTTTTTGCTTTTATTTATATAGTATTAAATGATTACATAAATATAACAGTGTTTAAAGAACATTTTTTGAGTATGTGTTTTATAAACGGTCTCGGTAGATTGTTATCAATTATACAAGTGATTATAATATTTTTAAACAAATTTTTAATAAAACTTGCAACTTTAGAGCGATTAATTAAGAAGGCCGTGTCTAACTATTTTATTGACTTGATGTCCAGATTGCTGTTGAAAAACACTGGAAAGAAAGAAAATGTTTAAAACTGTTAGCTTTCAAAATTAAACATTTATTTTCTATTTCAAAGTGATGACTAAATATATATCCTTATTTAGAAATAGTGTTTTTCTCCTAACGCATTTGCATAATATGTTATAAAACCATTCTAATACTTACAAAAAGTTATTTATTTTTTCGAGATCGTGTAATATATCATCTTGGTCCGAATTGAGATCGTCTCGTTCCTTAAGGCTTTCTAGTAGAGTGACATTTAGGTTTTCAATATATTTCTGAAGATTATTGACCAATAACTGTAGAATCGGAACGTGAATTCCAGTGAGCAACTGTCTTGATATCCACCGATGATTTGAATCCATTTTTATTCCAACATCATACAGCATTGTACGAATTACTTCCACAATTGGTGTAACACCATGCTTCTTTGCCTAAAAGAATATAAATTAATGAATACAGTATTACTAATGAATTAAAAATATTTCAGAAATATACCTTAACTTTCATTTGGGCTATTTCTTTCGATTGAGCTAGGGCTATTCTAACCTCTATTTGGAGCTTTGATTGATTTGCAAAGAAGAACAAGTTTTCTGTTGATGGAAAATCCTGTTTTTCAATAATGTTACCATTAACCAGTTGATTAATTGTTTTTTCTTGGTTAATTTGGTTTCTTTGAAAGATTTTATCGTTTTCAAATTCCTTATTGCGTTTTGTTTCACAGAAATCAGATTGCTTGCGAGGTACTCCACTTGATAACTTGGGACATGTTTCAGAATCGGAACTTTCATTGTCGGAACCGGTAAGAAATTCCTCTTTTTTTATGTCTAAAAACGAAATTAAGATCATTATTAATATTAATATTGGGAAAAAGATGGCTGCGTTGCACAAACCTACCATTATTTAAAGGATCTTTATCTCCTGTCGCCAATCTTTTACGTATTTCGTCTCGATTAAAGCGACGCTGTAACAACAAAAATGTAAATAAATCAATTTTTTATATTTGATATGCTTTATTATAATAATTACCTTTTTTTCTATTTGCTTAACCTTTTTAAAATGATTTTGTAATGTTTCCACGTCCATATCATTAGCTACTTTGTATGCATCGAATTGTTCTGTATACATAACAAACAGGTTAGAAACAAAATTCCGAATAACAAAATATTAAATAAATGTTATTAAATTACCTAAAACCATTGTAGCAGATGGATCTTTGGAATATTTTGTGGGATTTTCCAAGTATTGTGACCAGCATGCTTGATTTAAATACCTTCGGTTCGCCACCTTTTTATTGTCTTCCTCGATAAGTTGCTGGCTTTGACCGATTTCTAAATTGCTCAAGTTCGGTATTTCACCCTGATTGATACTTCGAAAATCATTTTTGTTTTTCTCCGAAACCGACGAACAACTTTCAGAATCACAAATGATATATTTTCGTTGGGTACATGTTTTGTAGTCGAAGGTGTCTGGTGGTAGCTGTCGTTCATCATGTGATGGTTTTTGGTGCTTAGTTTTTATCAACTCATGCCCATATGGAGTATTTTTCTTTTTATTTTTGCGAATGCTATTTCCAGACAATCGCGTCGCGGCTGTATGCTTTAAAGCTTCTGTACCATTTGATAGTTCTGCATCGCAAACCTGTAAATAAAAATTCATTTCATTCATGTCGATTTTGATTTATGATAAATTTACCTTTGTCAAATTTGATCCCTGTAACCCATTTGGTGTTTTCTTGTTCTTATATCCAGTGATAAGGAGTTCGAATTCCCGCTCCACTTCGCCACCAAAGTCTCCAACTATATCAATCGGACTTTGTCCTTGTAGCTGGCCCTCATATTTAGAATTAATTGTACATGACCAGGGAGAGAATTCATTCGTATAGTTCTGACTCAGGTTATAAATAAGGTCAGGCTTATTTAATGTTCGCATAGAGTTTTCTGAGTTCCCACTATAATTCTTATTTACAATGTCCGGTATGTTGGGGGATGATGATCTGTTTTTAGTTTGCTCAAATGAACTTGTGTTTCCATTGTCAAAAGCAATCTTGCCGCAGTTACTCAAAGTCACATCTTGGGTATTTTCAAACGTTTTTGGAGCTGATTTGTCGACAACCTTATTCTGGAACGTGTTTTGGTCATCCTCCCTGTCACTATCCGTTAAATCACTTTCATTACATTCCATGTCAGAGTACTGAATGTAGTCATCAGAAAGAGTGTGGGCAAATTTTTGAAATCCAGGATAGTTGGGGTTGGTAATTCCCTTTGTAATATAAATATCCATTCTTGAGCTTGGCATTTGAGTAAGTTACCTAGAAAGTAAAAATACAGTCAGTAAACGTAAATATTTCTGTAATATAACTATAAAATTATATTTAGGGAAATTTGTTAAATGTATGTACATTATGTTGATTATATATTATAACTCATAATCGTTTGCCTACACATACATTTACAACATTTGTTTTTCTTTTTAGTTATGTCTTGTAAAAAACCCTTGCTACCGCACTGCTCTTTTATTACACTTTTTTTGCATTCATTCATATGTACATATTTGTAGAAACTTAAAAACGAAACCACAGGTTATTTATTATATGTCATGATGCTGCCGAAAAATGTACATATTGTCTTTTCTACTGATACATTATTTAACTAAATAATATGTTTATACTTTAAATTAAATAAATTTAAGCAGAGTCCAAAAATGTTGGTATAGGTAGAGTTTTTTATTTCAAATTGTTCAAAAATGTTTATAGTTGCCGTTATTTATAAAATATGTTCTTAATATGATCGAAATACTTAAGCAATTACTCTTACTTTTTATCTTTTTACTATAAAATATGTATTTTATGGAGAACAACAGGAAATTTCAATTATTGAATCGATGAAGACTTACAAGGACTTAGGCCTTCCTTCATTCAGATGTAAAAATTACTCCCATACACAGAGGCCTAATTACATGTTTAGCGCATGCGTGGATAGCAAGACCCTTGTCCACAGTGTTTATAATAACACCAATTTAGTTTGAGAATTTATTTATCGAATGTGATTTTACAAAACACTAAAACTTTACGTTAAAATCAATAAATAAAAATAAAAAAAAAATAATAAAGCCCTCTGTACATACGTATAAGCTATTCATGTTTCTAATTTAAGCCGAAAAAAGAATTACCATGTCAGCTAAGTTCTTTATACTAAACATCACGTAAAAATTGGAAATTTCATCTAATAAAATTGTTGAATTATTTTATTTTTACTCCATCCCAACAATAGATTTAAAAAAGTGTACGAACATGAATGCCCCTTTCAATTTTTTCGCACTTGGCATTTTCTTTCCCTTAAAATATGGTAACACTAAGCACAATGTGATTTTAAAAAACCATAATATTGATGTATAAAAATAGTAGGAACTAAAACACGACTAGAAAAATGGAATAACCGTAGGCCTTACTTATTAGAGAATAATAATGATATTATTCAAAGGAATTCGAAGGGTTCAAACCCAGTTAAAAACGCCGGTTGACTTGGTGCTGATTCGGGTGAGGTTCTTGGTCATTACGCAATATGTAACAAACTATATCATTTACAATTATTCTAGTACTCCACTGCTGCAACAATATCTCCCCAAGATGACAGAGGTGTCAATCCATTGCCGCCAGCTACGCAGTCGGGAAAGGTGCAGCATTTACCCGAAAGTCAAGTTTCTTGGATGCCCAGTCCGTACACCCTCCCCGGAAAAACCTTCAGCCAATACAAGAAGCTGGCCAAATTCCGTCTGACTTGTGAGTGAGATGGATTGCGATTTATAGGGCATCGAAATAACGTTTATCCGTTTCTGTTCTAGCTCTGGTGGTCATTACAACTATGGGAGGCTATGCCATGGCTCCGGCTGCCTTTGATCCCACCACGTTTGTGATGTGCTCCTTGGGCACAGGGCTCGTTTCGGCTGCGGCGAATGCCATTAACCAGTATCACGAAGTTCCTTTCGACTCGCAGATGTCGAGGACGAAGAACAGGGTGCTTGTCACAGGACAAATGACTCCTCTGCATGCAGTCACCTTCGCCGCCGTGTCGGCAACTGCTGGGCTTAGCATGCTGTATTTCGGTGCCAATGGATTGACGGCGGCGCTGGGAGCGGGAAACCTCTTCCTCTACACGACGATATACACGCCCATGAAGCGAGTCAGTATACTTAACACCTGGGTGGGCTCGATAGTAGGAGCCATTCCCCCTCTGATGGGCTGGGCAGGATGTGCCGGCACCCTAGACGCCGGAGCCATGATCCTGGCCGGAGTCCTGTACGCATGGCAGTTTCCTCACTTCAACGCCCTGTCGTGGAATCTTCGTCCTGACTACTCCCGAGCCGGCTATCGGATGATGGCCGTTACCAATCCGGCACTTTGTCGCCGCACCGCCTTGCGATATTCTGTGGCCATTGTCGGCCTTTCAGCGATGGCACCGGTCCTGGACGTCACCAACTACTGGTTTGCTTTGGAAACACTACCTCTGAACGCGTACTTCGCATACCTCGGTAAATATCTCCCTTTACCATGCGCCTTGGCACTATGGCTAATATTTTCTGTTTGCAGCGTATAAGTTTAATGAAAAGTCGGACAGTGGGAGTTCGCGGAAGCTATTCCGATTTTCACTAATACACCTGCCCGCCCTGATGTTGCTATTTCTGGCTAATAAAAAGGAATGGTTTTTCAGCAAACCGACCGGAGAGGAGAAAAAGAAGGATTCCACCTACATCGCACTAAAGCAGTCTGCTAGCAGTCTTGGAAATGTCCTGCCCGTCGCCGTAGCCGAAGGTCCTAGATCGTAACATTAACATTCATACGAAAAATGTTAAGTATCGTTACACAAATATACTTAGTGTTCTGCAACTTGTAAAAACAAATAGTCATTTAATATTAAGGAAAATAGTACCTCTGTGGGGCAAATATTGCTTGCTTCAAAGAATAAATGACACCGCTTCCTTGATAAATATTTATGTACATAATGGAGGTCCTGCAACTCAATTTGTAAACGTAAGCATTTGATTTTTCAGATTGAATAGGAAAATATTTAAATTGTCAAAATCAAGTGTGACCAAGTGATTGGAAGTCAGAGTAACCTCATTATTTACTTCTTGGGGGATTACTTTTCACCGCGTTTCATTTGAATAGCATTTCGATAGAAGATGCCTTTGGGGAACATCTGGGAACATGAAACCCCAATTCCAATCGTTTTCCATCACACAACAGCTGACAAGACATTTAGCAACAGCAGAGTTTAACTAAAATGTTATTGTTAAAAAACGATTAAAAATTATTGTCTACAGCTGACCAAAATGTACATACCACAAATGAAAGCAACACTCACAAAAAAAATGTACTATTATCATAAATTTGAGATTATATTAAAATTATGAAGAATTTGTTTATTTATCGAATTGGTTTGGCTGGCCATAACCTAATTCTCATAATTGAATAATATGAGTAATCAAATATTGACATTAGTTCAAAAATGTGTCTTACCTCCAAGTTAAGCACCTATTATAATTTGAATTGGTTTATAATGAAATTTTTAAGGTGATGATGCATTTAAAAATTTATTTTTAAATAAATAGAAATTAAAACTTACGATTATTATGTTTTGTTGGCGTTTCAGTTTATTTTAAAACAAGATTCTAGCTTAAAATAAATAAAAATAACTATTTTTAGCTGAACATGTCTCTTTTATCGATAACAAAAATACTGAAATACGTTTTTTTCAGTATTTTTACTAGTTCATTTGACAAATTGCTTGGTCTTACAACCAAAAGAACTTTATTTTTTTATTGCGTTGCACTAGCCTTGATACTTTATCACCGGAATACATTAACTTAATTGTCTATTTACCGCGACACCAAGATGAATCATGCTGCTGATGCGAGTGTCGCTGGAGCCCTCGTTTGGTAATTTGAACGGGAAACTAGATCAAATGAACGCAAAATCTGTGGCGAACCACTGGAGTGAATTATTTTTAGTGAGCTGAACGTGGATTGTGACAATGAAAAATTGAGGAATAGTGTTTACATTCATTTTATAATTTATTTTAAAGTTATCTTTTTTATCTCGATAAAGGAGAGGCGTATGAAAGTTTCTTTACACAGTGCAACACATATAAATTTCTAATTATGTATAATGTACCACATAAGTTTCGTCAAGTTTGTCGATTGTGCCTCACATTGGTTAACGAGTGCGATGTTGCAGAACTACAAATTTACGATGTTTCGTCGCATAATAGTGCTCAAGACAGGAATACGGCCGATTTCCGCAGAGACGAGAAGCGTGCCAACTGCTATTGCAGTGCTTTGAGCCACAATCTGTGCAGCTGCATCGGTGATAACTCGCTATCAGTATCCGCAGTGACCAATAATGAAACGGGAACGGGTCCAAGCCAACTCCAACCCAAGTCGCAGTCCCAAATGCAAACCCTTCACCTTCACCAAAACCAAACGACAACCCATTACACGCCAAGTGTGCCTTCTGCTGCGGACACAAAATCGAGTGAACGCGAACGCCAATTGGAGTCGGACATCGCCGAAAGATCAGTATTCAAAAGTCTGTCATCGTCGACCCACGAACAGCATATAGCACGCGGGGAGGTCCGGTCCCATACCCATTCCCAATCAAAATCGGAACTCCCGCGGGAGGAGCGTAATCATAATCAGCACCAGCACCAGCATCAGCATCAGCGCGAGGAGACAAGTGTGGATGTAGATATAACAAAAATAAGCGGAACCGATAACTACGGCAAAGAGCACGGCAGAGATGATTCATCACCACATCTTACATTTCAGATATTCAACTGTCTCTCTATTAAGGTAAGCAGATTTCCATCCAACACATTTGCAAAGAAACGAATTTACATTAATTACGCACACACACTGGCGTGGATATACGGTGTGTGTGGTGGATATATCGCGTATATGTACACGGTAATGCCCGCACACCGTCGCACATTTGCGAGTGCTCGCCGTGTGGTGGTGTGCGTTATCTATGTGATTACGACACCACACGTCAAAATAATAGGAAATGATTGGGCCGCTTTTATCCCATGGCCTATTAACAATCGGTATCAATTGTTTGGTATTTTTTCGATGAACCATTTCGAGCCAATGCCCAACGCACACCACTCCATTCGTACATCAGCACACGAACGTAAATATTGATATGTACATGTGCATGTACTGTGTACATATGTACGAACACGTTAGAGACCTACATTAATCCACGCCAGAGATAACATTCGTCTCCCTGCAATTTGATTGTTTTCGTACCGATATGCGGACGTTTGCTCATCTTATATGGTTCAAATATATGGGAGAATTTAATTATAATATTTTTACTTTCAATAGTTTCATTTGTTTATGCTGTTGTTGGTTTCAATTATAACATACTTATTTTTAAAATTTATGTATGTTATCTCTTTGGAAGTCTATATTTAGAAGAACTAAAAATAATCATTTTAGTTTTGTTGCTATTCCTTTGTAATTTAGAAATTTCTTAAAATGAAAGTGCATTTTTTGTAACTGAACCAACTTTAAATTTGTATTATTTTAATAAACAAAGTCTATAACATACTTAAGACGATTAAATCTGTTATCGTAAGATTTTAAACTGTAAAATACGAGTTTATTACCCTGTACTAGATTTCAAAATTTCTTATCATACTGTGTCATTGCTTTAAAATTATGTGCGTGATGGCACAAATACCTAGATATATTAGCTAGCTAGTCGTCACGTTTAGCTATCCAAACAGTCCATCAAGCTTATCGATTGATTTCAGTACCGCCAGACCTATTAGTCATTGCATCATTCGGATTTCGTTATAGCTTAATATTAAAAGTGGGCACTACATTTTAAATAAATTTATTTCTTCCAGGCACTGCCTAACGATGGATTACCCAACGTGATTTGTGGTGATTGCAGACAAAAATTGGATTCTTTCGAAAAGTTTCGTACCATGGCGCACAACTCACAAATAGCTTTGCAAGAATTTTTAAATATATCAAAACATTTGAAACTAGTAAGTATTGATAATAATTATTTAAGGGTCACCAGCCCAGATTAAACATGATGTCACGATGGATATCTCAGAAATCTCTTCTAACCCATTAAAAACAATAAGGTGCCGGAAAAGAATTTCAAAATCCATTGACATTAAGGTTTCTAGAGATTTCTGTGAAATAAGAACTATAAATTTAGTAATGACTCATGAGAGTAGTAAGCTTGAAACTAGTAATAAAATGATTTTTTCTTTTCCAGGACTCAAATGATTTGGAAATTAAGCTTGATGCAATTTTAAAGGCTTCATCAGAGGCTATAGCGGCAAAGGCTCTGACGGAGCTAAGCACGTTTTCTAAAGTTAAGTACGAACACAGTAAAATAGATTCCACCATCCAGCATGGCTTGGATAGGAAAATGGAGATTAGCAATCAAGATATGCCAGCACATAGCTTATATCCAAGTTTATTCAAATCAATTAATATGAAAAGCGATCAAAAGAAGGTAATGTCTGGATCCTCACATAGCCAGTTTGAATCAAAGCTGCAAAAGGACTCGGAAACCGAGAAATATGAAAATCTGCAGCAGCAGCTAGAAACGGCTGCCGTTCTAATGGATATAAGCAAAAAAATTGTAATTTCCCCTCCATGCTCGAATCCCCAATCTCCGTGTTTCTCTGCAGCTGTAGATACAAGTATTAAAAGTTCTGTGATAAAATCAAAACGTCCATTAAACCAAAATGAAATTCAGGACGGAGTTGAAATTGACTTATCCGTCAAAAAACAAAAGAACGATTACTCTAATCAACGGAACTCGGCCCCAATACACCATTTTTGCCAAACTCCAATGCTTGATATTCAGTCACACTTAAGAAGTGAAGAGGATTTTCAAAACTACAGTATTACCATTAACCAAGTTGGTGGGTCCGACTACAAATCAAAGGCACCGAAAGCCAGTACCGGCTCCTTACTAGACTCTGGCGACAGCTCCGACTCTCACAAACTGGAGATGGACATCGCGTCGTCAATTAATGATAGAAAGACCCCGGATAGTCTAAGCTCGGATCACGCAACGGATGCGGCAACTACTCAACTCTGGCAAGCTCTGGCCCGATCAGCCGGTAAGTACTTAGCTTTACTATGATTTCAACAGTTAAATAGAATACTGATCTTTATATTTCTCAAAATTTTTAGCTAAAAGCAAAGAGGAAAATCAGGCAACACAAATAATCCGGAGCATGATGAGTCAGTCTTTCGTGTTTCCGGCTCCGTCGACAGTATCATTTACAAAAGTACCTGAAGAACCCATAGCACTATTAAAGGTAAGTGACGGATGTCACACTAAGAGTTGTAGAAAGTCCTAAGTAAACGTTTTAATTGACAGGATCTATCAGAGGCTCAATCCAGCAAATCAAAACCCTGTAGAAGAAAACAAAGTTTTCCTACCAAAACTGATTGCATCGATGTAGTTAATGAGAATGTGACTGATACTTATACCACTTCAGAAGCAGCTCCAGAGGAAAAGAAAGATAAAAGGGTACGTTATTAAAGCAAACAAAGTTGACTCACCTATTGACTAATAAATATATTTTATTTTAATTTGGTCCTGTAGAACATTAACCTTTTTAATGCCATACCTGGTGCTCAAAAAGATATGTCATGTTCCAACTGCGGCACCCTCACTACTACAATCTGGAGACGAAGTGTTCGAGGAGAAATGGTTTGCAACGCGTGCGGGTTGTATTTCAAGTTGCACGGGGTCAACAGGCCGCATTCAATGAGACGCGATACCATACACACCAGACGCAGGCGTCCTAAAGAATTGGAGCGATCTAAAAAAAGTAAGTGTTTCTTTCATCTATAATTCTAAAAAATTAGTTTTGTGTTAATTATTACCCGTCTTGTATTATATGAAATAAACAGATAGGCGGTTCAAAAAAAAAGGAAATCTTGTTCTCACCCCTTCACATAGTTGATTAAATTGAGCAAAAATGTATTAAAAAACTAAACTTTATTTGATAAGATTTTTGTCTTGCGAAACGTCCTCAAAGTTTTCTTCAAAATTACTCATACAAAATATATACTAGACAGAACTTTAAAAAAAAAAAACGATTCCACCCAACTTTGTTGAATTAATATATGATCTAAAAAACTAAAGCCAAAATTTGAAACGCGGACTTTTCATCCAAGTCAGGATGAAAATAATACATTTGATCAACGGCAACAGTGCGTATGAGTTTTAAAATTATAAACCAATTCGCAGACCCAAAAACGCGATTTTTGTTATATTTCGTTTAGAAAACTTTAATTTTGTCAATGCGCACCGTATAGTCGGGGTAGAGTAGGATCTTAAAAATTTCCATAAACAGGTTGACCACTCAAATGGGCTCACACTGAAACTTTACAGAGCAACCATGATATTTTATTTTGTATACCCTTGCAGAGGGTGAGGGTACTATAATTTTTGTATCGCAGGGATGCAGATGTTTCCCACCCTGTAAAGTTTATATATTTACTAGTCGGTATATGACTTACCGTCTGCCTGTCTGTTGCAATATAGTTTTCCAGCTCAGTTTAAGAGCTAGCAATTGGAAATACCGAAGTCATCGTAAAATATGTGGACGAAGGTCCAGTTTGAAATCCACCTCGTTCGGACGTCTATATCATATACATAGCTGACATAGGAAATATCGAATACAATATGCAAAATTAAGTATTATTTGAAGCTGTTTCGCACAGTCTAATAGCTAATCCTATTGTTGGAAATCAGGACGATTGGTAGTCTAGTTTAAAAAACTTTCGTAGGACTGTTGGTTAGAATTCTCAGAATCTGACAGATTTTAAGGAAAATTGAGCAGTTTTTATGCTTGCAACATAGAACATTACATTTATCAACTTTCAAAGACCAATTTGGGTTCCACTTGTAAACTAAAAATACCAATACTTAAAATATTTCTGGTTATACATTATTATATTAGGTGGCACCAGACTTCCCAGTCTATGTTCCAAAACATGAGCTAGAATTTATATAAATTGATTCGAATGATCTGCTAGCATCAATATTTCGTTTTTTTAGTTTTTAATCGGTCAATTTTCCCTTGCCTTATATTGATGGTGGCAACGATTCCAGGATTACACATTTATTTACATATCTTCAAATCTAATTTCTCTATCCAATAACAAAAATATACTACTAACTAATACGAGATCTGGTGTTGATCTAGATAGCATTTTCTGTATAAATACATCTTTAAATTATTAACATTTTATTTGAAAATTACCTAAAATGTTCTATTCCTTTTACAGAACACAAGCAAATGTCATCATGTTCTTCAATGGAACCAGCGAAACCAGATTTCTTGACGTCTAGGGAACACCTTGATATTTCTGGGTTGGTTTTAAATGTAAGTAAATGTATTTTTATATATACTTATATTTACGCATACCAGCAAAACAGGTATTATTTTTACGCTCGATAATTAGATTTTAATACTTTTAAACACACCACAAGAAAGAGGGCTTACGTCAGTTCCTCAAATGTGTTTAATAAATGATTACCGAGTGTTTTGAGATCGACCTTAACAAAATGTTATTACTACTTGAAACTAATTTTTTATTTTAATTTTAGAAATACAAAAAGGAAATCGACGAATCCGACACCGCAGCAGCACTTAAAGATATTTTATTAAGGCGGAAGAAGTCAAATTCTTTGCCGGCGTTTAATGATACCTGTGAAAGTGCGGATCATTCCGCACCGCTTAACCTTGTTTCCAGTGAAAATAATGCAAAGTTAACATAAAACGCCAAATATATTCCCCTACTCACTTTTCGAAATCAAACCTTTAACACACATTTTGTTTATTTATGAGGTCGCATAAGAAAAACAAAAGGTATAGGATTAAAAATAAGTATAGATTATTAATAAAATTTTTCATTCTTTAAAACTAAATTTTATTCATTTGTATCTTTAAAAACTAATACCAAAATACTTATTAGTGTAAAAGAGGTATAAAAATTGAACCAGTATGTCAAACCTTTTAAATAATATCACACTAAATATAGACCTTAAGAAAGGACATCAATACTTAATGCAATTAAATTAAAAATAAAATTTATTATATTTATATTTATTAAAACCATTTTACAGTATTTTTAATTTTTTAATAACACAAATTGCTTCTATTAAAATGGAAAGTTCAGTTTTAACAATGATTTTTTCAGCTGTCTTTGCAATTGAACAACTTCTAAAGCTATAAATAAATAATGTTTTAAATCTCTTGCCTATACGAAAATCATGTGATAATATAATAATCTCCACAAAACATTTTAATAGTAAAACTATGCAAAAAGCAATAATCACGCAATGCAAACTTTTCAAGGAAATATTTAAATTATATACAATTATAAGAAACTAAAAACTTAATGCTGTTTTCGAATCTACATAAATCGTCTAAATAAAATAAGGACTTCATAATAGGCTAAGATACAAAAATATTACTCATTTATTTTTTCAAATAAAATACTCTATACAATTTTTAACAATCACAATAAACTGGTTAATGTAAAATGTAAAACAAAAACGTTCTGTGTTTTTTTGAAGTTCGTTTAGCGCTGGGGTATTTTTGTTGTGGGTTAAGTATGTACAAATGATTTGGGTTGCTAACATATACGTCTTAAAGGTTTACATAGTTATAGAATGACATCTTTCTCAATCTAGCATTCCGTTCAAATTGTCAAACAAAAATAAATGAATTAATATTTTGGACCGGGAATTCAAATATATTTTTTAAGTCGGGAAGCTATCTAAATTTAAGTGGGTATATCGATGGACCCGGGCTATAAGTCCGATTCGAGAAATATCGATAGAGTGCAACGACCGCCTTCCATCGATAGTGCCATCGTTTATTTTACATCACCAAGCGTTGTTTTGTTATCAGATCTGTTATTGTCAAGCAGCATGTTCGAAAGCGGTGAACATTATTTTGAGGGGGTTGAGAAACTACTTGAAATCTGGTTTGAGGAAAGCTCCAATAGCGAGAATGATCTGCGTAACATTACCAGGTAAGTCCTACGAAACTTGTCAATTCGTAATACTTGTCAAATTCTCAGTCGTGCAAGGCTGCATGCACAGTCACGCACAAAAGTAAACTTATACATCACAAAATGTGTCTTTTGATTTGTAAAAAAAAACAATAACTATCGTTGGAATATGACAAAATGACCACCTAGGTTTATGTAGGTGTACAAATTATTATTACCCTTAAATATTTTTTTCCAAAATTTTTACTTTAAAGTCAATCAAGCTTGCCAAAAGCTTGAAACAAATGTGATCTCGCCGTCGTCCGAAGACGTTACATTTTATATAATTTGGTGATCCGGAAACGTTTCTTTCATACTTTATGCCCTGACCTTTCTTGTTGATAATGATGCTCTAATCAAGCACGGTAATCAAAATTAGTTCTGAATGAAGCTCCTCCATACGAATTTTCTTAGGCAGTGACCCCTGAACTTCTAACAAATGTAAGTGTTATTGTTTCAGATCTGATTGGGAAAACGTGCTTAGCAATGTCAACTGTGAAATTATAAGCACATCCAAAAACGATACTATAGATGCTTTTGTATTGAGGTAACATTTTTATTTTTGATCGTATCGTAACATTTATCTATACTTCTCTGAGAATATCTTAACTAAGCTGAAATCCTAATTCACTTTAGCGAGAGCAGTATGTTCGTTTCCAAGCGTCGATGGATTCTTAAAACTTGTGGAACTACAACTCCTCTTAAATGCTTAGGGCTTTTGTTAAAATTAGCGGAGGCCAACGGATTCGATGTAGTCGCAGATTTGTTCTACTCGCGAAAGAATTTTACTAGACCAGAAGCACAGGTTTGTAATTTTTTAAAAATAATTATATATTTATATGTACAATTTTTCGTTTTTCAGATAGCTCCCCATCAAGGCTTTACGGAAGAAGTTACTTATCTTGACTCAATTTTTCCGAATGGAAGATCCTATTGTCTGGGCTCTATGAATCTGGAGTGTTGGTACCTCTATACCTTTAGTCGTTCTGATATTAAAATTTCTCCTCAACACATAACGAATGAGAAAGAAGTTGACTCTGAACCAGATCAAACTATTGAAATTCTTATGCAAGATCTTGATCCGGATACCATGTCGATCTTTTACAAAAACAAATTTGATAATGCCCATGGGGCTACTGTGGTAAGTAGGAATCTTTAATCTTAGAAAAGCTATATGTTAGCTTGTTTTATTTAGAAATCCGGAATCGATACAATATTGCCAAGTATGCATATTGATGACTTTTTGTTTGATCCTTGCGGATATTCTATGAACGGAATTAATGACAAGGTAACACATTTATTTTTCCCGATAATTTATATATTTTGATTTGACTAATTAATTTTAAAGGGAGAGTACATGACCATTCACATTACTCCGGAAAATAAGTTTTCCTATGTTAGCTTTGAAACTAATGTTGCGCTGAGTAACTACAGGAAACTTATTAATCAAGTTATTAATACCTTTAAGCCTGGCAAATTTATTGTGACGATATTTGCTAATAAGGTAAGTGGTTGAGTTAATTTAGAATTTGTTTACTTAGACGTTACAAAAAATAGATCGGATACTAAACAAAACTATTTCTATTTTGTTCAACAGTGCTCTTTGGCTTATGAAACCATGAAGGAGCTGGAAGTGGAATACTCCAAAGGATCGCACTGGAAACGAACGGACATGCAATGTTGCAATTTCCCATCCTACAACCTTCTGTTTGCACAATATTCTTATAATGAACAAAATGTTGATAATTTATGAAGTTTGCTCTCCAATGGTAATTACGGTTGTTTTACGTGTGTCTAACAAAACTTATTGTTCGTTTGTTAATAATTAATCAGAACAAAACGTCGAATAAACATTAGAGCTATAAAATACTAGATTAAATATTTGGTATTTTCGTTTATAGAATTCGGTTTTCAAGAATTGCCATTTCAATTTTTAAATAAACGCGTACATTAACTTTTTAAGTCAACTTTATATTTAATGCCCTAAAAAATACCAAAAAGCTGGATAACTGTGAATTCCAAATATGGCAAAATCATCGGAACTGGACAAGTGTCATACCCAAAGTCCATCTCTAGCAGTATTTGACAAGTCGAGCCAAAAGAAAAATAAAAATGAGTGCAATTTCCAATGAAAACATTATTTGGACCATAAAAAACGGGGAGTTCGACGCTGTACAAGCCGCTTTTCAGAACGATGTGCGTTTGCCAACTTATAAAATGATTTTGATTTAATTAAATATACCTGTATACAGGCACAAAAGGTGAATGAGGAAATTAAGGGCCGATTCCCAGTACACTATGCGGCAGATTTTGGTCAGCTTAACGTTCTTCAGTTTCTGATTAATATAGGAGCCGACGTTGATGTAAGTATTTTTTATTGTCGGATTTCATAATTGTGAATCATTATTATTAGGGCAGTTAAAAGCCAGTTACACACCAATATATGTATACATATACACGTCTGCACCTCCTACATTTGTTTAGTCATAGTCTACAGATATATGAACCAGGTGTCCCCTGAACAAACGCCGGTTTACAACAATATATCATTATAGAAAGTATTTAATTATTTTGTATTGCAGAGAAAAGACAAGCATGGTATTACCCCTATTCTTGCTGCCATTTGGGAAGGACATACGAGCTGTGTGGAATTTCTTCTAAAAAAGGTTTTCTTATTTTTACTATTTAAACTTTAAATAAATACTTAATACAAATATATTTTCAGGGAGCGAATAAAAATGGTTCCACTCCAGATGGCCAAAGCTACCTTGAGGCAGCGGAAAAAGACGAAATTAAAAAACTACTTGCATAAATTTTATATGTAATTTTAGGATACAAACCTTATGTTTCAGTATCAGACACACTTTTAAATACAGTCATGTATAGCTTTTAAAAAACCTGAAATATTTATTTCCGACACAAAAATTCCCAAATTTTAATTAAAAATGTTTTTCTTTGACTTTTTTACTTATTTTTTTTTGGTTGTTGGAATAAACAAATAAGTACGGGTATTGCTAAACGTTGATTATTTTGCTGAAGTCAGCTGATTTTTATAAACATTGAAACGGAATCTCCCTTCTGCAAGCCTGGAAATATCGATAAATCTAAAAATATTCACTATCATCGCTAGCCGAGTTTTAATCATTCAGCTGTTCTACAGTTTATAGCGAAGAAACAAAATGTTTCGACCCGAATTGCATGGGCTTTCGCCCGACTTTCAGTTAACAAAATTTACCACCCACACTGGGTGAAGTTGCAAAATCCCCCAAAAAGTACTTGAGAAGTATTTAAGGGGAACAGAAATAGCAAGTAAGAACAACGATGGATACCTTATCGGTAAGATATACTATTTTTAGTTAATTGTAGGATTATCTCTAATTAAACACTTTATCAAGGCTCTGGAATGGACTGCGCAGTTATACCTCTGAAGCGGCACAAAGAATATTTACTTGTTCAAACCGTTGACTTCTTTTATCCTATGGTGAATGATCCGGAACTATTGGGACGTATTGCACTTGCTAATGTCTTAAGTGATGTGTATGCGGTTGGGGTGACGGCTTTTGATACCGTAGAAATGATCGTCAGTACATCGACAAGCTTTACTGACAAAGAACGAGACACTGTAATTTCCTTAATCATAAAGGGGTTCCAGAACTCTTTAAAGGCAAATGGCTATCATAAAACCCCCCTTGTAATTAGACAGCTTAAGATCAATCCTTGGTGCATTATTGGTGGCATAGCAACATCTATCTGCCGTAGCGGGGAAATAATTTTGTAAGTATTTAGTTACTGAAGTATGCTTAAACTTTAAAGTATTATCTCACCCTAGACCATCTAATGCTCAGCCCGGCGACGTTTTGGTCCTAACGAAACCCTTGGGAGGACAGATGGCGATGGATGCTCACCTGTGGCAACTTAACCAGACTGAAAAGTATAAAACACTGCTGTCTGAATTCAGCGACGATGATATAAGGGAAACTTTTGAAATAGCTGTTAAGTCTATGACTTATTTGAACAAAAATGGTAAAATCCATATTCAGTACTCGGTATTTATAAAATTAACACCTGTTATTTTCAGCCGCACTTTTAATGCACAAGTATCAGGCGCATTGCGCCACGGATATTACAGGATTTGGTTTGTTGGGTCATGCCAACAATCTCGCCCAATTCCAAAAGGAAAACGTTTCGTTCAAAATTAATAAGTTGCCAATTATTAAAAATGTACTTAAGTTTAGCGCTTTAGTTGGCCAAAGCACAAAGTTTCGTTCTGGCAGGTCAGTGGAAACCTCTGGAGGGCTCTTAATTTGCCTTACCCCCGATGCCGCCGATCAATACTGCCGGGAGTTTGAAGAAGTTACTAATGGAGAGCAAAAATCATTTAAAATTGGATACGTTGAAGCCGCCCAGGAGTCAGATGCAGTTCTGTGTGATGAAGTTGAGCTCATTGAAGTCAGCCTATAATTAAATGGTACAAATTAATTATTCAACATATGACGATTATTTCATAAAGGCCTTTCGGCTTGGAAATGATCTAAACTTTATTGTACATGCAAGGTGTATAATAAATTTGATGATTAATTAACCCATTTCAGGTGTTTTACTAAAATTGGTTATCGCGAGGGTAAAAATACTATCGATAAACAAATATTATATCGATGCTTATGATCGATGTTTGACTCGAGCTCCAATCCTTGACTTCTAAATTATTTATTATATTTATATTTTATTTATTTTGTCTATACACAAATGTATTCTGGTATATTGCACCCATGGGCTACAATATACTAATAGTCACATCTGTACAAACATATGATATGGGTTCCTTCGCCGCGCAGGCAGTTGTCCTTATTTGGTGCTTTTTATTGTTAGTAACCTCCCCACACGAAAAACACCCTTAACGGGAACAACTAAAGGACGGCAAAGGACACGGGCACAGCCGATATATTTGGCTGGAAAAATAACGAATAAAATGCCAAGCAATCAGAATTTGGCTTTAAAATAAACTCCACAACTTAATCCGCCCAATTCAGTGACTTTTGCAATTGTAAAAGTAGCCACAAGATTGTAACAGTTCATTCAATCCAATCAACAAAATGTTCAGGAGCAAAAATGAAGGGAATATTGTGTACAAATGCACGGTTCGACTCCTCGACGATTCCGACGTCCTGGAATGTGAATTTCAGGTTTGTGATTCTCTTGAACTTTGCCTTTTTCAACTAAATTGGACTAGATTGTTGGGTGAATCAACTGCCGACCTCTAAGGCAGTCAACATCTGAAACTGATGAGACTTTCGTTTTTATCCTGCAAATGTGCTACAAATAAATATACTGTTAGAAACGAAAACGGGCAGGACTCACTGCAAAATAAAAAGAAAAATCTGCTTCTGGTAGTGGGTTTACTTGCCCACAGATTGGAATTAATATATAATACTGAAATACCTAATTTGCATTTTCTGTCCTATAAGACTGGTGCCATAAACAGATGGGTGGCTAACGCCCTTTCTGCTTGCCGGCATAAGTTTGATTTGATGTAAATGTTGTTGACCGTTAAGGCATTGAAATACTTTTGAGGGTGTTTAACGGTTGACGGACGGAACATTTAAAACGTTGAGAATATTTGTTGAAATAAAAAAACACGTCCTTAAACCTTGGTATAAAATAATATTATTATATTTTTAATATGAAAACAAAATCTTTAAAAGATTCATTCTTTTGTAACTAAAATATCGCATCTTATATTGCCAATAACTTACTTTCTTACAGCCGCTTCATAAAGGAATATACCTATTGGAGTATTTGTGCGGTGAATTAGAGATAAAAGAGAAGGATTACTTCGGATTGCGATATGTTGACTCCTCGAAACAAAGAGTAAGTTGAAGCTATTATAAATATGGCTAAAAATATTAATAGTTTTATGTGCCTATATTTTGTTATTTATGAACAGCATTGGCTTGACCTGTCCAAGTCCATTATAAAGCAATGTAAAGGTAAGAAGTCTTCTGACTGAAGTACGTTCTATTTAATGAAATTACGTTCATTTGTTCAGAAATGGACCCCCTGTTATTTTCGCTGCGAGTGAAGTTTTACCCAGCGGATCCATTTCGACTGACTGGAAATGCAAGGATTATGCTATATCAGCAATTAAAAAGGGACCTTCGACATGGTCGTTTGTATTGCTCTTTAGGAGAAGCGGCAGCATTGGGAGCTTTAATTGTGCAAGGTAAAAATCAAGATTTCGAGGGTTTGTGTTAGTTTGGTAATACCCTATGTAAATTTGGCTTTGCAGAAGAGCTTGGCGATTATAACGAAGATGTGCACATAGGAGGTTATGTATCTTCCATAGAATTAGCCTTACGACAGACGGAGTATCTGGAGAAAAAGATAATCGAGCTCCATAAAAAGCGAGAGCCTGGACAGGATCTCTCCCTAGCTATGGACGAGTTCCTAGGCATAGCACGCGGCTTGGAGACCTACGGCATTGACCCGCATCCGGTGAAAGATCACCGGGGATCGCAGCAGTATATCGGAATAAATAATTCGGGTATTAGCACATTCGTTACCGGCAAACGATCTCAACATTTTCGCTGGAATGAAATACATAAAATCAATTTTGAAGGCAAAATGTTTATAGCACATCTAAGTTATACCGACGCAAGCCGAGAACCAGTAAGTTTTAATAATTTAAATTATATTAATTTATTGAAAATGATTTTTAATCTATATTTTGTAGAAAAAACACACAGTGGGGTTTAAGTGTCCAACCGGAGCTGCTTGTCGATATTTATGGAGATGTGCCATTGAACAAATGCTGTTCTTTACGTAAGAAGCTATTTAACTAATCGTGACTCTTTTATTTAACTCAATGGATACAACCTTTAGATTGCCCAATAGCCAAAGTGCCGCTGTGATTTCAGGCGGAGGATTTTTCTCCTGGGGTACGAAATTCCGGTACACTGGAAGAACTGAGCGTGAAATTTTGACTGAAAACATAAATGCATTGCGGGAACAAAAAATAAATAATTCGAACTCAAGCAAGCGAAAGGCGAGCAGTGTGCCAGCCACGCCCTCCAGCCCACAAGGCGATTTAGCACAAATACGTAAGATTTTTTTAATAGATACCTGCACCAGTAAATCTTTGGCCATTCAAATTCCTCCTAAAGAATTCGCGGTCTTACAAATTAAGAAAACAGCGTCGTATTGTTATGTTTTGTACTCGTGCTGGTGTCAAATAAGTTCTTACTTTTTTATCAGACCGGTAACTAATTCATCTTAAATATTTAACCAGGATACAGCAGTTTACCGAGATCAACGATGTCGGAGCCCTTGGGATACGGCATGCCAAATGGCCATTTCTACGGGCAGGATCACGGAATGAGTGATGTCAACGGGGGCATTCAGATTTCCAGCCTGGAGCCCGTCTGCGAAGAGGCCCGGCTAAGGTCGTCGAACATCGAGGGTGTAAACTACTTAGCGACCCAAATCGGGGGCTACACATACCGGGATTCCGTCGAACATTCTTCCACTGAGAGCGGGCTGACCGTGAATGGATACGACCATCCGAGAAAACATAACGAATCGAAGCAACACGGATCCTACTCCCCCAATCTGTACTACGGACAGTCCGATGCCTTGAACTCCAGTTCGCCTGCCGATAACTTCCTGCATGCGGATCAATCCGTTCGTAAAGTGAAGAAGTTTCGCAAATTCCACCTACTACACGCCTTTGTTCCGTCCGTTATATTTGTGGCTTTTGCGATGGCCGGAACTGCTGTGTTTATTATGGAATCCGAGTCGGAAGCTTTCGAACAGTTGCGGAACTCCCCCGAAATGCTTTGTTTGCGCTATCAATACTATCAGCCTTTGAAAGAGTTTGTTTTGGAAAAGTTGGGTCGGAGAA